GGGTGGGTGGGGGGGGGTGAAGGTCAATCCCCACATAATGAACAAATGGCATTACTGAACAAATCTTTAAGGGTGCGTTTTTGTAAACCAGGATATGGATGGAGAGGCAAGTGGAACATCGCTCTCCTTTTAAATACGTATCTTTTATTAACTTACTTTTACAAACAAGATATTACGTGTGTCCTTAAGCGCAGATGCAAGATTTGCCCCAAGTCCTCATTCAAAACAAGATAGGAGGACTGAGCCCCTACCACCTTTCTTAATGTTCTGCTTCCGCCAGTGTCAACTGTAACGAAAGTGGCTATTAATCAATAACGAACTGGGATGTTGTTAATGAGATGGTCAACAGTTTCATTTTCTCTACTGGCTTGCCAAAGAATGAAAAGATTGATGTTTTAAAATGGACTTTTTGACTGTAAACCTCTCTGTAAATGGAAACGGACTAAATGGTCAATTAACGGGCAATGTGTTTGTCCTGTGTCTTCATTATATATGTAGTGTACAATGAAAATTCCAGTTTAAAATCAATATCTCAAACACAATTCTTTCAGACTTAGTCTGTGTACTTCCCGTTTTAGATGGAGACGGGAACAGTTAACCAGCATCAACAAAGTTCTTGTCAAGTGCGCACAATGCAAAGTGCGCTTATTATCGTTAGTGACTACATAGGTTTCAACGTGAGCACATGGTAGTCATTTGCTGGCTGTCTCTTCGTCACGAACGCTTTTGTATATACGCGTGCATTAACTGAGGCAAAGTCCGTCCAGAGGGCTAGGTTATGGATATGGAAGAAAGGGTCGTCATAAATGTTGGTGGTACCCGTCACGACGTTCGCCAAGAAACACTGCGAAGAATTCCAGGGACAAAGCTTGCATCGCTTACTAAGCGAACTTTTCACTCTGATGATGAAGTTAAAGAATACTATTTCGATCGAAATTCTGCATACTTTGAAGTTGTCCTTGATTGTCTTCGCACTGGACAGCTTCATATTCCACGTAATTTGTGTGTTAAAAGGGTCCAGCAAGAGCTGGATTTTTGGAAAATTGATCGTAAAGAAGTAGGCTCGTGTTGTCTCCATATATTTACTGACGCAGAGGAACAAGAGAAGGAAGCACTGGAGATGTCTAAAGAATTTGGACTCATCCCGATGAACGATGACCAGATGACAGAAAAACTAATTGGTGTGTCCAGTCGTCGTATCCGATTGTGGACTTTTCTTAGCGATCCGAATTCTTCCAAGGCAGCTCTGGTAAATTTTGTGGCTCATCAAATAATATTAGCTAGACTTGTAAGAAGTTAAAACCAAAAAAATTAAAGCAAATATTTTATCAAAAGGGAACACATATCAATTATTTTCATTCGGGATATAAATTTCAATGCATGAAAAAGTAAGTCGTCATTTTATTAGTGTTGCATTTCATTTAAATCACCTGTGAAGATATACGTAAGACATATTCTGGTCCCTTTTCATTAGGAGGTTGTGACTGTCGACGACGGGTTCTAATATTTTAAACTTAAGTCATACAATATTAGAGACTGATTCAAACTACTTTGAACATACCTCAATCATATTTTCTTTCATTTAAAAAGCATCTAGTTGATCTTTGTCTCACAGTACCTTTAATACATTGTGTTTCAGGCATGGCTATACTTCTACCTAATTTTGGTCGTGTTGACCATAATTTGTACAGCCTTAGGAACTGATAACAATCTACGAATACGCAAATACTTAGGAAACATATCGCTGGACGAGGAAGCTTTGGCAGCAGAATTTGACATCAGTTTGAAAAGATTACAACTAACAATAAGCAGCAAACCACAGTGGATGCATATAATTGACAATGTTGCTTTACTTTTCTTTTCCACCGAACTTTTCATTCGTTTTGTGGTTAGTCCGATTAAAGGCCGATTTTTCAAAGACCCGATGAATATTATTGACATTATCTGGATCATTTTGAATTTGACTATAATAGTCACCACACCATTCCAGGAAAGCAACCTAGATCTTTTTATTTTTGCAGTCATTGTAGACGGAATCGTGAGTGTTCTGCGTGTTTTTAAGATTTTAAGAGTAGCCTCTTGCTGGCTTGGCCTCAGAGTGCTTTTGCTGACCTTAAAGGCTAGTATTAAAGAATTGTTATTAATGATTGTATTTCTTGGAATGGGTTTGGTTATCTTTGGGACATTTATATATTATTCAGAGCTGGATGAAATGGAAGGCCAATTTCCAAACATACTAGTTGGCTATTGGTGGGCCGTGGTTACTATGACAACGGTAGGCTATGGGGACATCCATCCCACCGGAGCAGTGGGCAGAATCGTTGGGGCGATATGCATTATAATCGGCATGGTTATCACAAGTTTACCAATATCTATCATCGGGAATAATTTTAGCAAATATCTTTCTTTTTCAAAAACTGTAAAAGTCCTAAGAAAGAAAAATGATCGAAACCATAAAAAATAATGAGTCAATTTAAATGTATATGACCTTTAAAATAAAGATCGCACAAAGTATAGGGCCTATAGGACCATGCAAGGATCTTAAAACGGTGAAGGATGACGAATTTCCATTGCGCTAACCATTTCGTGATAATGACATAGGGCTGTTATCACGAAATGGTTAGCGCAATGGAAATTCGTCATCCTTCACCGTTTTAAGATCCTTGCATGGTCCTATATATATAAGGAACTCATAAACGTGTGAATTTTTTCTTTCGGAAAATTCACCCCTTTCAGATGTCTCAGCTTTGTGTGTATGTTTTTTAAGCAGAAAACGTAGCAAAACTAGGAAAATCAGTGGCTGCGAGAAAAGAACAAATGAGATGATAATGATTTAATAACATTCACAGATTGGTAGATTGTGTCTTGATGTGCATTTATAACGTTTAGTTCGTGAGGCAGACCACAGGCACAGGATGGACAAACGCATAGCAGCACCAGCAGGCCTACATTGTATGTTTAAATAAATGTAGTAGGTTACACAGACTTTACGTATTAAAAAACGTGTACTACGTTACGCGTTGGATTGTATCAAACAAAACTTAGCTACATATCTAAAGAATGTATTTTATTTGAATTGGTGATACTGTCTTAGAAATGTCAGTTAGAACTTAGTGCTCTGTAAGCGTCTTTCACAAATTTCTAATGAGAAAAGAAAAATAAAAAGTTTTTTCCTCAGAATTTTTTGTTTCAACTCGCTTTGGCTTTATTAGCCTGGGTTTACTGTGGGGCTTTTTTTTCGCTACAAAAGCAACTGACATGGACCAGGTCTACCCAACTACCAGACTCGGCACATAAGGATCCTGAATTAACCGGTATATCGGATCACACTACCCGTTTTCAAGGTGTGTGTCGGATCGCATTTCGGAGTATCATACCCCAGAACAAATTTTGTAGGACGACCGCGGGCTCATCCTGTCGGTGTTCTGACTGATACTTGAAAACGGGTAGTGTGGTCCGATATACCGTTTAATTCAGAATCCTTATGTGCCAAGTCTGGTAATTGGGTAGGCCTGATGGGCGTTACTAAGCATCGAATCTTAACCAAATATGTTGACCTCCAGAGAAACCTAGGCTTATGGCCTTACTTGGCTTATTTGTAAAATAATTTGCGATAATTGAACACAGTCTCATTGTGCTCTTCTTTGATGGGACGTCTATTTTCACACGTCCTTCAACGATAAAACAAAAGGAAAAATATCAAAACCGTGAGACCGTCCTGTAATAATGGACCTGGGTCAATTTGGTACATTTTGTGCAAGCTTCAGAAGTGTATTTCATAATTTTTATTTTCTACTTATGTATTTCATAATGAAAAGCAAGATGGCTGCCCTATGAATCCGCCTGGTAGAATACATTTGCTTCACTACTTTACATATTTGAAATATTATCAAACGTAAAATAGTACAAGAGGGCCTGTGAAAAAAATGGGTCGATTGTGCCAAAATCCACACTCCGAATTTCGTTCAGCACCTCTAAAGCAATGCGATTTGTCAAATGTTTACGAGGCGAGTCAGGTGACTATACTTCGGTCGAATGTTCTTCATTAAGGTTCGGTTGACATTTGATCAAACTAAACTTTGTCTGTGACAATTTCTATGGCTGCATTAATGGTATGCTGATATCAAAGTTAAACTTCTACTGGACTGTCCATATATTTTAGACGCCATTAACGAGCTAACTGTTCATCTTGCTCTGGTCTACCGATTTTTGTACTATAACTAATATTTCCCAAACTCGAAAGAATATGAATGTAACATTTCTAAAAGGACAAAAAGTGCATGTTTTACAGTCTGCTATTCTCCCAACATCAACTATGCCATAACAATTATGTCTTGCCTTCTGATATTTCTTTATTCAAAACTTGACAAAACGTGATTTTTGTAAAATTTACCAAATTTCTGATAAATTTTAGGGGAACAGATTTCAGGGTACAGTTCTTGTTAAATGGAATTTCACTTTTATAACAAAAAACACTTGGCTCTATAACATTCAATATATTTTATAAAACTCGAAAAATCGGATCTTCCAGCTGAAAAATGTCTTAGATAGTGCTATCTTTATAACGACAATTTCTTCCATTGCGCTTTTCTTTTGAATAGTCACGTAAAGTATTCAGTTTAATTCTCGGAAGTTCTATGGGCCCCAAATTGTTTGTTTTAGACATATCCTGCCAGAGTAGACAATTTCTGTCCAAATGCGCCGCTACATTGGGTCCTATTGTTGGCCTTTGGGCTGATCGCAGGCTCTCTGACGAATACGTAGATTCGCTGTAGTGCTCCACCTTAGAGTCGCTAAAATAAAAATGATAACAAAGGTTATATTTGCTACTATAGAGAAAGAAACTAATATAAAACATAACAGGAAAAAATAAATGTAAAAATACACGTAATCAAATATTATATTGTCCAATACTTTATCAGTGGTAACATTTTGTTCCAATGTCGACAATTTCGGCAGTTGCAGGAGGGGAATACTAGCACTGCATTAGCACGCTACATGGATGACACCACAAATCTGCCATTTTAAATGAGCGACTTACCATTTCTTGCTCCTTTTAGAGCAGTTCCACTTGACAGCCACAATCACAATAACGACAGCAAAAACCAATAAAAACCCTACTGAAGCCAACGGTGTCCTGAAACGCGAGAGGAACGAGATTACAGGGCTGTTGCTCTCGTGGCCGTCTGTTGCACCATTCACTTGAACAGTGGTGCTCATTGTGACTTCTGCAGGCTTCATGCTGCTTCGCCCCTGTTCTTTTTTCGTTGTAGCTGACGGAGGATTCCTTTTTGAAACCTTAAAGTGTAGGTCTACAGTTGAGTCGGGAGAGTGCGGCTGTTCAGTTTTAGTTGGCTCATTGGTTGTTTGGGTTGTTGAAGCTGTGTTATAAACTGCAGTAACCTCTTGTGCTTTCGAGTTCATCGTGCCAGAACTATATTTCTTGTTTCTACCCCTGGTCGTGTGGGCTTTTGTATTCGTGGTGGTGGATTGTAGTGATTTGGGGGAAATTGTTCTCAAATATGTCGAAAGTCTCGAATTCATTCTATCTTTTGTAGGCCTATAGTAGGAAAATGTGAAAGCTTGCTTTGCAGTTGAAACAGCCGCCGTATGTAAAGACATTCGGGGTGCTTTTGTTGAAAGTTTTGACCACGCTGTTGTTGCTAGCCTTAATTGGGTGGACGAAGGAAAATACCTCGCCTGTGTGGATATCACTGGCACTGTGACGAGTTCTTCCGACGTTGTAGTCGGTTTCATAGATTTTTCCGTAGCTTCACGTGTCACTGACGCAGACATCACAGTGGGTAATGTCACTGTTATTGGTGCATCACTTGTTTGAGCAGTGCTGTAATTTTCTTCATTTCCCAGTTGTAAACGCGTGCTAAGTTCATTCGCTGCTGCAGTCGTTGACTCAGTTGATCTAGACACAGACACTGACTGAGTTGTCCTAGAAGATTGCAGTGTGACGAGTTTTTGCGACATCGTAGTTTGTTCTACAAATTTTGATGAAATTTTAAATGACATGGTCGGTGCCAGCGTAATCGTCAATGTTTCTGTTGTTGGAGGATCAGATGTTGGTACAGAGGTAAAATTTGCTTCATTCCCCATTTGTGAACGTAAGGTAGACTCTTGTAAGACTGTGGACCTTGCCTGAGAAAGTGTAAATAGGTTTGTGGGTGGAAAAGTTGTTTTTAGTTCTGCTGCTGTAGTCTTCGATATCGAATTCTCGTCGGTCGTTCTCGAAGTTATTAACTCCAATGCCGCTGTTGTGGTTTTGAATTCGGATATTAAAGTTGCATTATTTGCTGTCGGAGTACGTGCCATTTCCTCTGTGGTGTAACTGAGTGCACTGCTACTCGTGGGCTGACTCGTTTCGGATTTCAAAGTGACATGTTCAGTATTTACAGTAAACTTTTTGTCAGTGTCTTTCAGTGTTGGATAACTCGAGAATATCTTATGATTGTGCAGTGTCCCTGCTGAAGATACGAATACTACATTAGCACTAGTTGTGTCTTTGGTACTTTCCTCCTTTGTGTGAATTGTTGTCGTTTCAGTTCCTGCGCTTGGTTCCTGTTTTGTTGTAGAATCCATTTTTATACCCAACGTGCTCAGTAAATAGGGTATTTCTGTAGTACCTGTCGTGGTAGCACGTGTATACAAGTTCGGTGTGTCTGTTACAAATGTTGGTTCCGTTTTAGTCCTGATTGTTTCTGATTGTGTTGTCCTAGTTTCTGCTCCTGTTGTTGTGGTTGTTTCCAGAGAAGTTGTTATTGGTACGCAGTTGTTCCCAGATTTAACGTAGCCTTTTCTACAGGATAGTTTTCCGTTGTCTGTACAAATATGGAGAGAAGATATGGGTTTGCACATACACCTTGGACCATACAGCCCTGGGCTACAGCTCACGTTGAACTGGACGTTTAAACTGTTATAATATCAAAGAAAAAAAGGAAAGCTCTTTTACTATGCTAAAAAAGCGTCAAGTTTTTTCATCTGATGTCGCGTAAGGGCAGTATACATCAACAGACAGTAAAAATTATTAACGATGTTAGAAATATTTTGTAAACATTTGAAAGTTGGTCGAAGATTACCAATGTACATACTAACAAAAAGCATACTCTAACGTATATTTTTACATAAGTGACATAAGCACGCTATTATCTGTTGTTTTAAAAAACATGAATATTTGTTGTATTACCTAGTTTTAATAGTTTTCCCTATAAGCGTCACATGTGTCGTATTCCTGGCATTCAGTTTAACATCGGATTCTATATATTTATCGACCAGATTGTCCTTGTCCCCAAGAGATGCCTTTTTGTGGTACACAGTCACTTCCAACGAAAATTCACCCTGAAATAAGAGTATACTGACCGTCATGATCCCGATGTGTGTGTCAGCGGTGTGTATGTGCACGCGCGTGTTACTTCCCATTTCAGCCAAACATTAATTTAATAATATTCTAAATCACTTACCGGCCAATTTGTGAAGGACACTTGAAAAGGATTTTGTTCTTTTTTGCCATCGTCTAGATACTGTCCAAATAACACAATATTGCCTGTGTATTCCTTAGACTCTACGGTACGTGAACATACCAAACCACTACAACTACACGGAAAATTGAAAAAAAAAAGAGAACAAGCAAGTTATTACTTAGTGAAGAATGCATCTAGTGACTGTCAAAAAAGACTCAGAAATTAAAATTATTGATATGATGTGTCTCAAAATAATAAAATCTACCAATTATATCTTAAAAGCTTGACTAAAAATATTTTTCAAATACATTTGTTGTCTTAATCATTTGTCATTCGATTCGATAAATTTCTGTCATGCGTGACAAATTTTACGTTGTGAACAAAATTACTTGATATAAAGATCAAACATACAACTTGAGTTTGTCTTTAATGCCTATTTTTCGACCACTTATGTTTTCACTGAAAGTAGAATGCCAAAACTGGCTTCATTCATTGTCACTTACCCACTTGGTATAGTGATTTTTATTATAAAGGCATGTAAACAAGGTTGTGGGAAAAAACTGGTATCACATTTTGTTTTGTCGTATTTCAACCCGTTTTCGTTCTCAAACTGTATAAGTTTCACCGAGAGAGTACCGGACCCTGCAGCTGGGGTCTCAAACGATGACACTTTTCTCACCCAAAGCATCTGGAAAATTGTTTTGTTTTATTATACTGATATTTCCCTGACATCTTACTTACTTTGCTTCAATGACAACGCCACCCTCGGAAAACAATTTAGTTAATTTGAAATAATATAGGGCAAGGTCTATGAGATTAGCGAGATACATAGTATTTGGCCAGGCATCGCATTCTTTTAAATGCCCTCGTAGACTAAGCAACAAAAAATTAAATAGGGATTGCCAAATGACACTACTTTCCAAGGTTGACGTTACCCTAAAATTTCAAACTGCAGGCAAGTAATGTTGTTAAATGAAATGATTGATCTCAGTTATACAAGAGCAGTTTACAACACATACCTCAAGCCAAATGACAAGCAATACAGTGTTCTTCATCAGAAAGGTTATTCTACTGAATTGCTTCAATTCCTTTGTCCTCATTTACATCACGTACATACACAGCACGAATAAACTGCAATATAACAACGTTATTTTTAATATTTACTTGGTTAAAAGACATATATAGCATACCAATGATACTTTTACATGTAGATGTATATGTACATCAACTACCGGTCAGAAAATTAACCCTCCATCTATTCGAAAACCTGTTAAAGATGAATAGTCACGTCTCAGTTTCAAATCCATTCCTATAAATGCCTGTTGAATTGTTTTCCTGTCATAATCCACAATAAAATTTGCAAGTTTACTCTTTTAATTATTTAAATAATTGGTATCAAAATTGTCAGGAGATAAAAAAGTACCCGATATTATACCAAAACCCATGCTCTCTTGAAACACTAGAAACCATAAGTGCTCTTGTAGTCTCTCAGAATGTAAGTTTTCAGATTAGTATTTGTATTAATTGGATCAAGTACTCCGACAGTGTTAATCAAGGGTTTGGCACCGTAACAGCGATACCCTATATTCAAGGTCGTTTTAATTATTGACAGGATATATGAACTGAATCTAATTTTAAGATAAATTTTCCATACTTCGCTGTAGATAGTGTAACATTGAAAAGTAAAAACATAGAATAAACCCACTCCCTGCAAACTGAGCTTAGCTCCTTTTTTCAGACAATTTGTCAATATATATATATATATATATATGACATTGAACCACTTTCTTGAAACTTCTGGAAACTAATTCAAAATATATACCTGTGGATTTTGCATTGTGTAAATGCTATTAGAAACCTTAAAATATCTCACATTTTATATGTGACTTTTTGACAAGTGTAGTACATGTATGTGGGTTTAACTCAGAATCAAAGAGTGCATTCCCATAGATTTAGATCGATCCATCTAGATCGACCTAACTCCCTGGGGGTTCACGCTAAATTGCTGTCAGCCGAGCGCGCAAGGTAGTTAATTACCCTCTTGCAGCTTTTAGTAGGCGGGACAGGCATTTAAGCCGGCTAAGCTGACAGTTATCTAGTGATACTCCCTAAAGGGATAGATCGATCTAAAATCTGTGGGAATGGGGTCAAAGTAACAAATTTTGATATTAATGATTAAGTGCATTAATAGGGGCAGTTATCATTACAAAATAGTAAGAAAAAGTATATAAGAGACATTACCTACTTTCCATATATATAACCTCATTTACCTTTTGGGGATACTCTTCAAATCGGGCACAAGTGGATCGTAGGTGCACCGCGCTGGAAATATAACTTCACCCAGTCAGTCCTAGTTATACCTATTGATACTTATATAGCGGCACTTGAAACATTTATTAAGTGACGTATAAACCACTTGATAACACTGTTGATTTTGTGTGACTTCTTAGTCGGTCTGTATGTTTAGATGATTACGATTATCTTAACACAAAGGTAAGTGTTACAATCAAGTGTCTGGCAGAGTTGATGGACACCTGCTGATTGATCACGGGGACAAATAATGGTGCAGTCTGAAATTAACTAAGTGAATGTAAAACTTTATTTACCTCAAAATTCCAATGTTTTGTTTTCTAGTCTCCCATCATATCCACTGAATTTTTATATAACAAAGAATTCGTGCAGAGAGAAGAATTTTTTTCTTCTGGAGGTCTGCGCTTTTCAAACAGACAGGCTTTCACTTCATTATCTCGTCCTTATTATTCCAGCACGACCTTGATCTTTTCTCTATCGCTATTACTTAACGATATCAATGTCATAAGTACTAACTTACCAACACTGTCGTTTAGTTCTATTGCTTAACATGTTATTAACAATAAAACATTGCCTGAAACAGCGAGAACCTATACCAAACAAAATGAATGCGCCTAAATTTCCAGAGTCAGCATCTTTGCTAAGTGAAACAAGCCGATTTAAGGCAGATTCACTTATTTTAAGGTGTATACAACTTATTTTAATCTAAATATTTTTGGCAGATTACCATTTGAACCCGGTGAAAGAAATGGAAACATACTTAAATTACAAGGAAACTAATGCCTGATAAAAGCTTTAAAAACAAGATCTTTTATAAAAACAGTGCGTCTCAACATGCTTCAGCGGGAGCTCATACGTTTGACCCAAATCTATAAAAACCTGACGGGATGGACAGTTATAAAAGACTGCAGCCCGCCGGCTTATACTCTCTGTTTATAAACAAAATAGAGGATTGGCATATATTAGAAAGATATTGGACTGACTTTGACCAAGATCATAGATGAACTACGATAAAAGATAAAAGCAACAATCCGAATAGCATGTCTTCATTCTGATGGCGGCTTCTTTCGAAGCTTTTGAGATAATCGATTCTTCAAATTTGCAAGCGGATACTGCAAGTTGATACTGGCTATAATACATTGTCAGGTAATGGGGTAGTAGTGAGGCCCTAACTTTCAGCGATTTTGAAATTGGAAGTATTGGCATATCCATCTAGATAAACAGCGAGTTTTGACATTGATAACTATATATTGTACTTGTAAGTCCATTACGCTAATAAGTAGGCACATATAAGTTTTAAATTGATTAAAACCATCATTGGTGAAACATAAGCAAGGACCGGATGGATGAGATCTGTTAAGTCGTTTGAATTTATTTAATTTTCTTTCAGACTATACCATTATTTGTCCCACTGGCCAATCAGGTGTCCAGACACTTCGATTTGATGCTTATCTTTGATCTTATCTTTGTGTTAAGATAATCTTGATCATTTGAACATAAAAACAGGCTAAATTGTCTTCTCAAATATAATAATAATAATTATTATTTATTTCTACAATTACAGCCCTTAGGTTGAATTTTTACAATTTTAAATGCATTCAAATGTATATATCATTCAAAGGTAATAGCAGCAATGATAATAGTAATAGTAAAAATACATAGATAAATGTTCAAATGTGTGAAAATATGACATGACGCATCAAGTCATAAAATGATGTTATCAGTTAATAAAGGCTTTAAACCATACTAATATCTTAAAATTTCTTTAAGGTTGTGAGTTAATAATAATTAATAATAATAATAATAATTTATTTTTCTATGGCGCATTCCATTAAAAATCTCAATGCGCCTTACAACATTCACTTAAAAGAGCTAAATAGCACAATACTAATATAAGAACACATTACAATTTTAAAGGACTAAGAACTAATTTAAAGAACCAATTATTCATATTCTAAAATGATAAGAACCTAAAGTGACAACATTTAAAATTAATCATAAAATTACAGTACACCTTATTAAAAACTAAAATTAACTATATGATAGTTACTGATAGGCTATTCTAAAAATATGAGTTTTCAAAAGCTTTTTAAAAGTATCTATGTCACCTGCTGCTCGTATTTCAGAGGGTAAGGTGTTCCAAACTTTGGGTGCATATATCATAAATGCCCTTTCACCGTAAAATTTACCAGCTTTTTTCTCTAAGACACTGTGTTCTAAAAGTAAATGACTAAAAGTTGAAGACCTGGTAACTCTTCCATGCTGATGTTGCTTCATAAGTTCTGAGATATAAAGTGGTTTATTCCCAGTGACTGCTTTAAAAATGACACATAAAATTCTAAATAAAATTCTCTCTCTTACTGGAAGCAGTTAAATAAGATATTTTAAGGGTTCTCTTTTCACTTTTGGTATCACAAACTAGATGTCCTCCCTTTCTCACATTTCTTTTACCAGAGCAAACGGCCTTACTTTTCAGATCAGAATTAATTTTTTTAAGTATCCCTCCTCTCCCTCAGGGTGGGGAGGTTACCGGCCTAAAGGACATCGGTGTAACTTGAACCTGGGTAAATTATTCTCTAAGATCTCTTTTCAGATGAATTCAAATCATTCAGCTGCAAGACCCTGTCCCCATACAGGTGAAGTTTATTCTAAAACAACTCTAATTATTGGCTAGTATATTAATGTTTTAGATCATAGGTGGTCAAATTTGACATTTTTAATTTCCTAAGAGGCTCAAGTCATAATAGCCTTGAAAAAGATCATACTATGAGATGGCTGGTTGATCATTAATCGCGAAAGGCAATCATTGCCAGATGTTATAGTTTTCAAAGTATTAATACGTAATGTGTAAATAGACGTACCCGTTTTCTTATCTCGCAGAGAATTTTAGCTGGCAGAGAAATCGGATAACTGTTAAACCAAAATTCTCCCTCTCCCAAAAGAAGAATGAAAGAAAACAACAAAGAAGCATATATTTGTTCAAAAGTATTTATTGTTCTCTAAATAAAAAGCTTCCAAAGAATAAATCCTTCCTCAAGATTCTGTAAAGTAAATCTTTGGAAACGCCCTACAGGCATTTTAAAACATTAAGTACATTTCGTTGGCCTAATCTTTAAAAAAACTACACACTACTGCAGGTAAAATATTGCACATTCTACTGAAATAAATATCACACAAATATCAAGAAACTATTTTAGCTAATAACACGCAACTAAATTGTCATTTGATAAAAATGTCATGGAATTTGAATGGAAAACATTTGTACAAAATAACCAAATGGTTTTTCTACACACTTAAATATAGATGCAGTTATTTAAATGAAGCAATGATTAACTATATTAGGAAAGAGTCCATACTGAGTCACCTTTCTTACGCACAAGTGTGATACATGAAATTTCAAGCTGGTTGTTTGCCTATTGATTTTCATAAACATCCTTGAACATCTTCTCTTCATAAAATATAATACATTTTAGACAACGTGGACAACAGCGTTGGGATGCTATAGCACCATAACCTTAATACATATTTGGTGGGATTAACAGAATTAGAGGATTTCTTATTTTTCTCTCACATTAAACAGTGTCTTGTTATACAATATAATATAATACTATGGTACTAGAAACCTTGCTGAGCAGGCATGACATGGCATGATAAATATAACTGGCATAGTGAATTAAAATACTGCAGCTCATTTAAATGCCAGAGTGAAGACACCCACTCTGTGAATAAATGAAATATCATAATATATATAAAAGTGTCAGCAATGTTATGTTTATAATGCAAGTATGACACAGATCTTGGTTCCAATATTCCTATCAGTCTCTAACATCCAGTGTGCCTTATGATTAATGCATCTTCCTGTCCACCTAATCAACAGTGGCCTTCCTTGCCAGAGAGGCCAGGGCAGAAGATGTGGAGGCCTCAGACGTAAGTGGAGTCAGGTGGATGACATCTTCATCCTCATCTTCATCTTCTCCTGGAAAGTATTTTTACACTGAGTTTTTTTTTGTGCAAGTACACAATATTTCAAATGATATCAAGACATACCTTTATTATATGCTGTTATCTTATATCAAGCATAACATATAAGTGAAAACCTACTTAAATCAATTTTTTATTACCAGTTTCTAATTTAGGGACATTAATAATCAGGTAGAAATAAAGCCTCCTTAGCAGCCTGTTGGGTATAAGATTCCCTTTACTGCAATATTTATGTGTATGGGACTCATCCAAGAAAAAGAAAGTCTATGTCTAGCATGAAGTCAAACACTGCCCCCACCCCTCTCCTACTTTACCTGCTGAATTAAACATAACCACCTAGTCTCAAAAAAGGACCCTTTTATCAAATCAATATTACACTACATTATAATAGAGCATATCTCACCTCCAGCTGATGTTATAACTTTGTGGGATGGTGCATAGAGCACCATGAGGCTGAACACATAGACATTCCACATTCCATATACTCCTGAAACATATAAAGCCATACTTCAAACATTGGTCCACTAACATACTTGCATGAGACAAGTGTGATGAAGATTTAGACTAACTGTACATCCCATTGTATTTTTGTTTAAACATCAAATCAAAATGACTTACTTTTGTCATAATGATACACTTTGAAACACCCCGACTATTGCTACAGTTTTTATCAGAAAATATTCTGGCATGTAACTTTCTATAACAAACAATCACAATATACAGATACGACAAACCTGATGATAATCACTATGCATTTTTTCATCAATTTCCTTACCTGTGAAGAAAGCACTAGTGTACTCCAGTGAGACTCCATCATCTCCCCATTTCCATTGAGCCTCACTGATTTGACTGATAATAAAGAAAATCACTGTCAAGGCAGCACAAAAAACTGTAACCAGCAAGAGGAAGCGGAATCTGAAGATCAGGCCCTGGAAACACAAATCATTGTCAATTAAGCTGTATACATTCTGTTAAATAACTACATAAATGAAAACAATGTTAAATTTGAAAAGCCATAACTGAAAAATCCATGTCATCAAATTTACTGTTTAATCAACTGTAACACCACCTAACAATTCAGCTTTTCACTTGCTGCATATCCCTTGGGTTCCTACACTACGATGATCATCAATATTTGTTTCTAAAATCTAAATCTTAGCACTTACCTGGTAATATTTCCTTCTGCTGCTACTGAAGTGTAGAAGTGATGTTGACTTTCTTCTCATGTTAATAAACACCATGACCAGCATGTACAGCATGAACAAGAAGTAAACACAAGCAGCTATTCCAGCAAGGCAAATGAAAGCAAGCTAAAACATACAGTTAAGGCACAAATGACAGCTGCCATACAGATCTTTGAAGATTTTATAGATAAATATGACAATACCTCCACAACATCATTTCACCAACATATTAATGAGCATCAACACATAAAACTGCATCATTTTGTGAGAGCAATTTCTTTTTTCTGTCTTTATTTCCTTAATGTTTTTTTCATAAAGGATACACCCAACTTAGTTCCCGTGTCAGTCACCCAGATGCTGTAGAAAGGGTTGGCCAGCTGGACACCTCTAGAATAGAGTGAAGACAAAATGTGAAGAATATTTGGGCAATAATAACTGGGTGCAGAGTAACCAGAGAAGCTCTGAATCACTTATCATTTCCTCATATCATGTGTTTGAAACATAAATCATATGTATATTTATAATTGCAAATTTCATTTCCAAATCAAACATGAAACAGTCATAATTAAGATGGGCTACTACCAGTGTATGAAATTCAAGGAAATTACTAGCCAGACCGCCGGGCAGGTAACTCTGAAAAGTTACCAGCCTGGCCATGTAGTTANAGCACCATGAGGCTGAACACATAGATATTCCACATTCCATATACTCCTGAAACATATAAAGCCATACTTCAAACATTGGTCCACTAACATACTTGCATGAGACAAGTGTGATGAAGATTTAGACTAACTGTACATCCCATTGTATTTTTGTTTAAACATCACCAAATCAAAATGACTTACTTTTGTCATAATGATACACTTTGAAACACCCCGACTATTGCTACAGTTTTTATCAGAAAATATTCTGGCATGTAACTTTCTATAACAAACAATCACAATATACAGATACGACAAACCTGATGATAATCACTATGCATTTTTTCATCAATTTCCTTACCTGTGAAGAAAGCACTAGTGTACTCCAGTGAGACTCCCTCATCTCCCCATTTCCACTGAGCCTCACTGATTTGACTGATAATAAAGAAAATCACTGTCAAGGCAGCACAAAAAACTGTTACCAGCAAGAGGAAGCGGAATCTGAAGATCAGGCCCTGGAAACACAAATCATTGTCAATTAAGCTGTATACATTCTGTTAAATAACTACATAAATGAAAACAATGTTAAATTTGAAAAGCCATAACTGAAAAATCCATGTCATCAAATTTACTGTTTAATCAACTGTAACACCACCTAACAATTCAGCTTTTCACTTGCTGCATATCCTTTGGGTTCCTACACTACAATGATCATCAACATTTGTTTCTAAAATCTAAATGTTAGCACTTACCTGGTAATATTTCCTTCTGCTGCTACTGAAGTGTAGAAGTGATGTTGACTTTCTTCTCATGTTAATAAACACCATGACCAGCATGTACAGCATGAACAAGAAGTAAACACAAGCAGCTATTCCAGCAAGGCAAATGAAAGCAAGCTAAAACATACAGTTAAGGCACAAATGACAGCTGCCATACAGATCTTTGAAGATTTTATAGATAAATATGACAATACCTCCACAACATCATTTCACCAACATATTAATGAGCATCAACACATAAAACTGCATCATTTTGTGAGAGCAATTTCTTTTTTCTGACTTTATTTTCTTAATGTTTTTTTCACAAAGGATACACCCAACTTAGTTCCCGTGTCAGTCACCCAGATGCTGTAGAAAGGGTTGGCCAGCTGGACACCTCTAGAATAGAGTGAAGACAAAATGTGAAGAATATTTGGGCAATACTGACTGGGTGCAGAGTAACCAGAGAAGCTCTGAATCACTTATCATTTCCTCAAATCATGTGTTTGAAACATAAATCATATGTATATTTATAATTGCAAATTTCATTTCCAAATCAAACATGAAACAGTCATAATTAAGATGGGCTACTACTCTTCTAGAACAAGTAAAATTTTTCTTGATGGCAGTTGTTCTCAATATTTTGTTCTCAACAGTCTATCATATATGAAAAAATTTCTGAAGATATTCACTTACTTTTCACACAGTTCAAAGATGAAAAGGCAAATACATCCAAGGATGACAGCACTCAAGTGCTTCCAGTACATCACCAGCCGGTTCCTCTCATAGTCATCCTAGGTAATATAGATATATTTCTTCTTACTTAGAGAACCACAAGCCTCAACAGCACCCTCTATTTATTACAGAGAAAGATTTGAACATATTTTACCAATGTCAAGATTTTTTTAAAAGGTTGAGATCAAGAAAACTATTTGACATTAGGACAGAAATCAATAGCAAAATTGTGTGAAAGAGTTTGTTGATAACAGACGTAAGGAAATTGCTTTCACCAGATATAATTCTGAACACATACCCATACTTCCCTCTAGCATATTTTGAAGAAAAAATTGAAAATATTAAAAAGAAAAGGTTTAATGTTTAAATATAGAGATCGCTGCAACACAACAACACATCAGAAAAATCTTTAAAAAAATTATGCCAATGATATCGATATACACATTGTTATTAAGTAAATGGAATTATAGATCTGCATGCAGGTGATGTGAGGAGAGGTCTTACCAGCATGTGCTCTCCAAGGAAGATGATCCAGAATGCCATAAGAACAGAGTAGAAGATACCCTGTCTGATGTCTGACAGCAAAGACATAAAGGGGATGTTGAATGCCAAGGTCAACCACTCAATAGGGACTGAAAGTAATAGATCAAATATATTACAAGGCATTCAGGCTACAAAACTGCACAATTATGCACTGCATAATATTGTCTAAACTTAAAAGTTGTCCTTTTTCTATTTAGGAGCATCGAAACATTTTAGTGACTATCATGCTTACACGAAGTTGTGGACTGTAATCAGATCTCTTAATGTAAAAGGAACAAAACTTTCAAAAACAACATTAAAATGGCATTATAAGAACACATACTTAAGTTAAAGAATGATAATAAATAATTCCATTACAAAGGATGCAGTGCATGTCCACAAAGAGGCGACACTTACGGTTCAAGAAAGTGAGAGCAAGACCCAGTGTAAAGAGTATCCTGGAACAGAGCAAGTTTAGTGATTACCAAAAACAACTTTACAAAAGCATATGCAGCAAAAGAAAATTCACACAATAAAATAATATAAACCAAAATAAATACACTACACTAATGGCAAGTGCAATTTTTGGGCAAAGTAATATAATATCTATAACAAGTAAAGGAATTCAAATTACAACATATAAAAGGGGTACCCTTTAAATTCATAATCAGTATGACACATGAAATAATTATGAAGTGCAACATAACATAACACTTTTGAACTTACTTTTCCAAAAGGTTTGGTAGCCTAGGCAATTGCTGAATCCGTCTCCAGTACCAGATCATTATACCCAACACAACTGGGAACACACAGGTCTTCATGATAAACCAGACTTGAGTGAAACCTCCTGTTTGGTGAATTACCTAACAGAAAATATATCACAGGCCATTAGATGTTTAATACATATACCATAAGCCTGACCACTGGAAGTACCTTTATTTGAATTATATCGTGTTACAGGGCTTGACACTAACTTTTTTTCGATACTGGCCCGAGATATTGGTAAATGTTGCAAGGATGATTTGACACATGACATTTTACTTGCTCTTTGGGCCAGTGACCCCAGCGATTCAATGGCCCTAGGTTGGTTTTCAGTGGCCCAGGGCCAGTGGGCCACCCTTAATGTCAAGCCCTGTGTTATTATGATGAAACTTCCCAACCCAGCATTGCTGGGCTCTTCAATCTCTCAATGTAAACAAAATGATCACAACTTTCAAAAACAGCATTGAAAGTGTGTGTAAATAAGTAAATGACCTACTCTAATTACAAACTAGGATCTGTTAGAATGTCGGTTTATTTCAGACTGTTGGAATTTTTATTTATATGAAGTTAACATTTCTAACAATAATAATAATAACAAAAAATGCTAATATATGTTTACAAATTGATCTTACATGCATCCAAATATCTTCCACCTTTCCAATGCCCCAGTTCTTTGCAGAATTGTTATGAACTGGTATGCGGATGTTCACCAAATAGTCTTCATAATATACACTGCCCAGCTCAAAGAAGGCAGTCATATTGCAGTCATAGTAATCATTTTCTTTCTTCTGAAAAAAAGAAAAGAAAATTTGAGAAAATCAATAAGGCAAAAATGACAGAAATAAGCAAACCTGCTATTCTTCATCTAAAAATAAATTATGCATATGTAGATTTTAATCTTGCCTAGCCAGATTTTAATTTGGCCTCAGCCATATTGAAACTGTAATATGGGTCGATTTAATATCAGCCTTGGTCAAATTAAAATCTGAATGAACTTTACTTTGTTCTAGGTCGATTTAAAATCTGACTTGATTGCAATCTTGCTTACGACACACACACACACACACATGTCAAATTATTTTATAAAAAATCACACAGTGAATGTTTACATCAACTGTTGAGGATTAAAATTCAAATTTCTCTATTCTAAATACTTTTAAAATTGCTAAATTGATAAGGAAGTTATGTTACATTACCTGTGTATAGGCAGTACCTACCTCACCAAGGTGACAATCAAGTTTTCTCTGCTCATTGGATCTGGCTATTTCAATCCAATCACTATTTCCACTTCTGGCTGCTATTCTGGAATCCATATCTATCACAGCATTTTCCACTGAAAAAAATTAGTCAGTAAAAGCTTAATATAAGAAAAAGCTGTTCTGGCAATATTAAGAAAAATAATTTGAAATTCATTTTACACATCCATCACTTTACAAAGTGACTACTTCAAGAACAGTTTTTTACAAGTTACCATGGCAAAAAATAATATAATAAATACTAACCCATGGGATTGTTTTCTTTGTATTTGATCTCAAAGCCCAATACAGCAATCATATATTGAAACCATTTATTCATTTTTAATTCTTTTCCTTCTCTTGGGATTGGAAATTGAAAAGCAAACACAATCTGGTTGGCCCCAATCTCATCTTCTTCAATCTTTTGGTCTTCAAAGGTGCTGACTGAAGTGCAGCTTCCCGCTCCCCGAGGCCAAAATAACTTGTGTTTGTGGTTATGGCCGCCATGTTTGTGCTCATCTATACACTTGGTGGCAAGTAACTGCTGCACATGATGGGGTGACGGTGCTAAATGGAGAAAAAATTAATTTATCAGGAAATGATGGTAAAATCAATAGTCAGCAAAAAAAATGAAAATGTCAGACATTTTTGGATGCTCAATGTCAAACATATTATATTCCTAATCCACTCACCATATATTCCCCAAAAGCAGTTTCTTTATTGGCAGGCACCCAATCAATTCATCATGATCTTTTTTTTTTCACTTACACTGTATACCGAACATTTCTGTACCTCAATGCCATGTAAAACTATACATTATTTAATCACATAATATGTTGCAATAAGACAAAAAGCCTGTGTGCTACCAGTATTGATGTCAATGATATTTTCAAAAAGATCTATTCCTGTTTCAGCCACCTATGTAGATTGCATGCTTACGCCAAATTGACATCAGAAATTGGCAACATTTCCATCAATGACTTCAGGATAAAAAATAACTAAGGTACGCCATCACGATTTATATGGTGCAGTTTTATTCAGCAGAAGATTTGCCCATAGAAGTAGACACATTTTTATTCAACATAAATTAAAATAATGAGTTAGTTAACAACCACTTAAGAAGAATCAGTACATTCACCATAACTTACATTCTATTATTTAACCAAACCAGTAATTGTATAACGTGTATTACATTAAGTCAAGTAAATAAAATAAAATAAAATGAACATACTGATTCATTTCACCAAAACAGCAGATTCGTCAAGTTGAATTTAACTAATTTTTACTGAAAGTGAACCAGTACAGTCATATACTTTGGGGTTTCCTTTCACCTCAAAACTCTCTCAGACAGCTTAAGAGCCTCAATCACCTTGATGCCAACTCTAAAATTACCTTCCCTAACAACAAAAGATCTTGGATAAGAAAGGGCTTCATATCTATGAGTGTTTGATAAACCTGGAGGCAACATTAAATGGGGACAATATTGAATGCTATTATTTAGAGCACGATCAGGTGACTAGATCAAAGGATGCACAATATAGTGCATATTAACCCTTCTGAAAATATACAGTGGGGTTGGTTGTTTTATATGAGGCCATATCTATTGGACCAGGTCATAAAGATTGCAAGGCTTTGCAATACTTTTATAACTTGAAATAGATGTCCTAACTGCTAGTTTGAATAATGGACAACATGAAAAAGTAATGCTCATCATCTGGAAATATTATAAATAAAATGGTCATTTCATAACACTCAGCACTTATTTTAGTCCTTGCTCATTCTACATTATATACCACAGATACAACATATATAAAATAATATTCCAATCAGTAAAAGCTGTACATACACTGTACATCTACAACTGATTAGTGAAAATACCTTAGTTTTATCATAACTTGAGAACCACTTTAATTTCTTATTTGCAGTCTAATAAGAGATCATTCCACATGATAATTATCATTCTCAAAAGAAAAAAGTCAATTAAATCTTTTTCAATTTATCAGAAAATATGTGCCAATGGCTATAAGCATAAATTATCTCTAGCACAGAACAATCAAGCTATTAAAACTGAAATAAATGCCCACTTTAAATTATTTGTGAGGTCTGAGTCTACAACCTGAAACATCTACATGTGAAGAGCCGAATGCTGAATTTCTAGTATACTTATGCCTGCAACCAAATTATAGTTTCATATCTTACTTAAATTACACTGACAAGGGATGAATTCTGGGAGGCCGATACATATTACTAGTATTTGAAAGTCATCTTTTTTATTACGTCAAATACAGCAATCTGCTATTTGATTTTTGAAGACTGCCCCAATGCCAGTTAACAACTACTAGCTTTTTAATCTACTGGTTAGAGTGGGGACCTGGGACTGAACCGAGACCAAACTACATAGCACAGTGAAACCCCTGAATCGGCAAAAACACGATTCAGTAAGAATTGTGGAACCTACTTTTAGAAATCAGCTATGCTGGAAGCATAATCCCTTAGCATCGATACGTATGTGTGAGTCTAATTAAACAGCGAACAAATTCAATTTTAAAAGATCTAAGGAATGACTAAAGCAAAGCAATCTTCCACTTACCTATCTTCCCTCCAATCAAGAAGAAACCAATCTGACATATCAACAATACAATGCTAAGTGCAATGAGTTTCTTCCAACTAAGTGTTTCGAGAACAACCCCTGCCATCTACAATGTCGTTCGCCGTCCAGAGATAGCTCAGAAAACTGTTATGACGATTCTTTGGTAAGAAAATTGAGATATTAACACTGTATTTTGTTTCACCTCACGCCGTCTCTGTTCACAACTGCATGACTTACAGGCAGTGCTTCCTTAAATATGCCCTAGCGCAAGCGCAATGTTGTTGATGGATAATATAATTAAGAAAAGTAACATATATTTATGGTCTTGATTCTATCGAAAAATCATCAAATTAGGCTTGAAGCCATATTAAACTTTTCATGTATAATATATGGCTTCTATACCGAACAAAAACAATCACCATACAAATGTTTACTTGCTAATGCCTTTACGAAATTGGACGAGTCTAAACAGAAGTGCTATGGGGGGTTGTTTAGAAAGTTGTAAAACTGAAATTGTAGCATCTCTCTAAAGGCACATTGAATCTTGCTAAGACGAGTATTTCAATGATTCTGACTGATAGCAAATACATAATATTTACTTCTTATATAGATTGTATGTAAAGTTTCCTGGTGTTTTAAACCTGTTTACCCTAACTTCGTAAAAATTTAAAGCGGACATTTTGAATGTCAGAAACTAGGCGCTGTGTACTCTAAATAGAAACTGTGCACTTACAGAGGGTAAATCATTACGTAATTTCTTCTTTAAACGATGCTTGATTATATGCTCTTTATTTAGAAGTTGTTTAACAGTTAGCCTACAATTTTTCACACATACACTTTTCCTCTTGCATCGACGAGAGGATCTTGGAAACTGCCCAGCTTTCTGGATAAGTCTAAAAAAATTAATTAAATTAGTTTAAAGATTCTAAACTGATTTTGGTGTTAAATTTCATCACGGTAGACTAGTGTGGTGCATGTATTCTAAAGTCGATTTGTGGTTTTTGAAATCATTAACGGATCATGCCTTTCATGGTGACAGCCGGGGGTGCCATGAAGGCATGATAAGAATGAGAGTGCGTAAATCTAATAGCAGTTATACAAGACAAACATAAAAAGTAGATAAAGATAAAAAGATTAAATAAATTATGTAGACAAGATGTAGGCAGGGTTCAATATAAATGATATAACTATCTCATATTTTTTTAAATTCTATAGGGTAACTCTATTACACAACAGTAATATTGCAACTGGGAGGTTAGTTGTAATGTCTGAATATTCAGAAATGGGAGATTTAAAAAAAACTATGTGTGTTTTAGGATGATAATAGAATGAACACTGCAAAGAACAGAGCATTGTCCATCTTAGCGAGAGAGGCTGATACTGCAGAAAGCTCTCAAATGTCACAACGGTAAGTATTAGTTGACTAGACAGCAAAAGATTTTATGAACTTTATTTATTTCAGTTATGTTTGAATGACTAATGTATGTAGTATTTTGCATTTACTAACATTATGTCCGAAATAGATATTCTGTGTGCTTCATATAAATGTGTTATGTCTACTAGTAAATTATAAGTTGAAAATATTCTTTAAGTATATGGTATGTAGAGGTTCTTGGAATACTCTTAACTGTATGGGAATTTTTTTTCTTCTGAAGGAGAAAGATTTGAAAAAGAAAATCTAAATAATGTTTAATATTAGCTTTGTCCGTTTCTATTCAAAATTATACTAGTAGGAATACATACTCAATTTTTTTTNAGGCTGTAAAAGGAGCCAGCCCGTCGGGCGGGTAATCTGCAAATCTTACCCGCCCGGCCTGAAAGTTACCAGCCTCGGGCTGGCGGGCAGGCGGCCATTTCATACACTGGCTACTACTCTTCTAGAACAAGTAAAAATTTTCTTGATGGCAGTTGTTCTCAATATTTTGTCCTCAGCAGTCTTATCATATATGAAAACATTTCTGAAGATATTCACTTACTTTTCACACAGTTCAAAGATGAAAAGGCAAATACATCCAAGGATAACAGCACTCAAGTGCTTCCAGTACATCACCAGCCGGTTCCTCTCATAGTCATCCTAGGTAATATAGAAATATTTCTTCTTAGTTAGAGAACCACAAACCTCAACAGCACTCTCTATTTATTACAGAGAAAGATTTGAACATATTTTACCAATGTCAAGATTTTTAAAAAGTTGAGATCAAGAGAACTATTTGACATTAGGACAGAAATCAATAGCAAAATTGTGTGAGTTTGTTGATAACAGACGTAAGGAAATTGCTTTCACCAGACATAATTCTGAACACATACCCATACTTTCCTCTAGCATATTTTGAAGAAAAAATTGAAAATATTAAAAAGAAAAGGTTTAATGTTTAAATATAGAGATCGCTGCAACACAAAAACACAGAAAAATAATTTAAAAAATTATGCCAATGGTATCGATATAAACATTGTTATTAAGTAAATGGAAGTATAGTTCTGCATGCAGGTGATGTGAGGAGAGGTCTTACCAGCATGTGTTCTCCAAGGAAGATGATCCAGAATGCCATAAGAACAGAGTAGAAGATACCCTGTCTGATGTCTGACAGCAAAGACATAAAGGGGATGTTGAATGCCAAGGTCAACCACTCAATAGGAACTGAAAGTAATAGATCAAATATATTACAAGGCATTCAGGCTACAAAACTGCACAATTATGCACTGCATAATATTGTCTAAACTTAAAAGTTGTCCTTTTTCTATTTAGGAGCATCGAAACATTTTAGTGACTATCATGCTTACATGAAGTTGTGGACTGTAATCAGATCTCTTAATGTCAAAGGAACAAAACTTTCAAAAACAACATTAAAATGGCATAATAAGAATACATACTTAAGTTAAAGAATGATAATAAACAATTCCATTACAAAGGATGCAGTGCATGTCCACAAAAAGGCGACACTTACGGTTCAAGAAAGTGAGAGCAAGACCCAGTGTAAAGAGTATCCTGGAACAGAGCAAGTTTAGTGATTACCAAAATCAACTTTACAAAAGCATATGCAGCAAAAGAAAATTCACACAATAAAATAATATAAACCAAAATAAATACACTACACTAATGGCAAGTGCAATTTTTGGGCAAAGTAATATAATATCTATAACAAGTAAAGGAATTCAAATTACAACATATAAAAGGGGTACCCTTTAAATTCATTATCAGTATGACACATGAAATAATTATAAAGTGCAACATAACATAACACTTTTGAACTTACTTTTCCAAAAGGTTTGGTAGCCTAGGCAATTGCTGAATCCGTCTCCAGTACCAGATCATTATACCCAACACAACTGGGAACACACAGGTCTTCATGATAAACCAGACTTGAGTGAAACCTCCTGTTTGGTGAATTACCTAACAGAAAACATATCACAGGCCATTAGATGTTTTATACATATACCATAAGCCTGATCACTGGAAATACCTTTATTTGAATTATATCGTGTTTAGTTATTATGATGAAACTTCCCAACCCAGCATTGCTGGGCTCTTCAATCTCTCAATGTAAACAAAATGATCACAACTTTCAAAAACAGCATTGAAAGTGTGTGTAAATAAATAAATGACCTACTCTAATTATATTGTTACAAACTAAGATCTGTTAGAATGTCGGTTTATTTCAGACTGTTGGAATTTTTATTTATATGAAGTTAACATTTCTAACAATAATAATAATAACAAAAAATGCTAATATATGTTTACAAATTGATCTTACATGCATCCAAATATCTTCCACCTTTCCAATGCCCCAGTTCTTTGCAGAATTGTTATGAACTGGTATGCGGATGTTCACCAAATAGTCTTCATAATATACACTGCCCAGCTCAAAGAAGGCAGTCATATTGCAGTCATAGTAATCATTTTCTTTCTTCTGAAAAAAAGAAAAGAAAATTTGAGAAAATCAATAAGGCAAAAAATGACAGAAATAAGCAAACCTGCTATTCTTCATCTAAAAATAAATTATGCATATGTAGATTTTAATCTTGCCTAGCCAGATTTTAATTTGGCCTCAGCCATATTGAAACTGTAATATGGGTCGATGTAATATCAGCCTTGGTCAAATTAAAATCTGAATGAACTTTAATTTGTTCTAGGTCGATTTAAAATCTGACTTGATTGCAATCTTGCTTACGACACACACACACACACACACGTCAAATTATTTTATAAAAAATCACACAGTGAATGTTTACATCAATTGTTGAGGATTAAAATTCAAATTTCTCTATTCTAAATACTTTTAAAATTGCTAAATTGATAAGGAAGTTATGTTACATTACCTGTGTATAGGCAGTACCTACCTCACCAAGGTGGCAATCAAGTTTTCTCTGCTCATTGGATCTGGCTATTTCAATCCAATCACTATTTCCACTTCTGGCTGCTATTCTGGAATCCATATCTATCACAGCATTTTCCACTGAAAAAAATTAGTAAGTAAAAGCTTAATATAAGAAAAAGCTGTTCTGGCAATATTAAGAAAAATAATTTGAAATTCATTTTACACATCCATCACTTTACAAAGGGACTACTTCAAGAACAGTTTTTTACAAGTTACCATGGCAAAAAATAATATAATAAATACTAACCCATGGGATTGTTCTCTTTGTATTTGATCTCAAAGCCCAACACAGCAATCATATATTGAAACCATTTATTCATTTTTAATTCTTTTCCTTCTCTTGGGATTGGAAATTGAAAAGCAAACACAATCTGGTTGGCCCCAATCTCATCTTCTTCAATCTTTTGGTCTTCAAAGGTGCTGACTGAAGTGCAGCTTCCCGCTCCCCGAGGCCAAAATAACTTGTGTTTGTGGTTATGGCCGCCATGTTTGTGCTCATCTATACACTTGGTGGCAAGTAACTGCTGCACATGATGGGGTGACGGTGCTAAATGGAGAAAAAATGAATTTATCAGGAAATGATGGTAAAATCAATAGTCAGCAAAAAAAAAAAAAAAAAAAAAAAAAAAATGAAAATGTCAGACATTTTTGGATGCTCAATGTCAAACATATTACATTCAAAATCCACTCACCATATATTCCCCAAAAGCAGTTTCTTTATTGGCAGGCACCCAATCAATTCATCATGATCTTTTTTTTTCACTTACACTGTATACCAAACAGTTCTTTACCTCATTGCCATGTAAAACTATACATTATTTAATCATACAATATGTTGCAATAAGACAAAAAGCCTGTGTGCTACCAGTATTGATGTCACTGATATTTTCAAAAAGATCTATTCCTGCTTCAGCCACCTATGTAGATTGCATGCTTATGCCAAATTGACATCAGAAATTGGCAACATTTCCATCAATGACTTCAGGATAAAAAAATAACTAAGGTACAACATCATGATTTATATGGTGCAGTTTTATTCAGCAGATGATTTGCCCATAGAAGTAGACACATTTTTATTCAACATAAATTTAAAAAATGACTTAGTTAACAACCACTTAAGAAGAATCAGTACATTCACCATAACTTACATTCTATTATTCAAACAAACCAGTAATTGTATAATGTATATTACATTAAGTCAAGTAAATAAAACAAAATGAACATAATGATTCATTTCACCAAAACAGCAGATTTGTCAAGTTGAATTTAACTAATTTTTACTGAAAGTGAACCAGTACAGTCATATACTTTGGGGGTTCCTTTCACCTCAAAACTCTCTCAGACAGCTTAAGAGCCTCAATAACCTTGATGCTAACTCTAAAATTACCTTCCCTAACAACAAAAGATCTTGGATAAGAAAGGGCTTCACATCTATGAGTGTTTGATAAACCTGGAGGCAACATTAAATGGGGACAATATTGAATGCTATTATTTAGAGCAGGTTCAGGTGACTAGATCAAAGGATGCTCAATATAGTGCAAATTAACCCTTCTGAAAATATACAGTGGGGTTGGTTGTTTTATATGAGGCCATATCTATTGGACCAGGTCATAAAGATTGCAAGGCTTTGCAATACTTTTATAACTTGAAATAGATGTCCTAACTGCTAGTTTGAATAATCATGGGCAACATGAAAAAGTAATGCTCATCATCTGGAAATATTATAAATGAAATGGTCATTTCATAACACTCATCACTTAGACCCCATTTCCAGAGATTAGATCGATCTACTTTAGATCGACCTAACTCCCTGGGGGTTCACGCTAAATAGCCGTCAGCCGAGCGGACACAAAAGTTAATTACCCCCTTACAGCTTGTAGTAGGCGGGATGGACATTTAAGCCGGATTATCTGACAGTAATCTAGTGAGACTCCCCGCGGGGATAGATCGATCTCAAAGCTCTGGGAATTCAGCCTTATTTTAGTCATTGCTCATTCTACATTATATACCACAGATAAAACATATATAAAATAATATTCCAATCAGTAAAAGCTGTACATACACTGTACATCTACAACTGATTAGTGAAAATAACTTACTTTTATCATAACTTGAGAAACACTTTAATTTCTTATTTGCAGTCTAATAAGAGATCATTCCACATGATAATTATCATTCTCAAAAGAAAAAAGTCAATTAAATCTTTTTCAATTTATCAGAAAATATGTGCCAATGGCTATAAGCATAAATTATCTTCAGCACAGAACAATCAAGCTATTAAAACTGAAATAAATGCCCACTTTAAATTATTTGTGAGGTCTGAGTTTACAACCTGAAACATCTACATGTGAAGAGCCGAATGCTGAATTTCTAGTATACTTATGCCTGCAACAAAATTATAGTTTCATATCTTACTTAAATTACACTGACAAGGGATGAATTCTGGGAGGCCGATACATATTACTAGTATTTGAAAGTCATCTTTTTATTACGTCAAATACAGCAATCTGCTATTTGATTTTTGAAGACTGCCCCAATGCCAGTTAACAACTACTAGCTTTTTAATCTACTGGTTAGAGTGGGGCCTGGGACTGAACCGAGACCAAACTGCAAAGCACAGTGAAACCCTAGCACGAAAATTCATGCGTTAGCACCCCTATTGACGATTCTGATATGTACTGGCTGTGCCAGCCAGCCAGCACAGCCAGTACATATCAGATTCGTCAATAGGAGTGCTAACGCATGAATTTTCGTGCTAAGTGAAACCCCTGAATCGGCAAAAACACGATTCAGTAAGAATTGTGGAACCTACTTTTAGAAATCACCTATGCTGGAAACACAATCCCTTAGCATCGATACGTATGTGTGAGTCTAATTAAACAGCGAACAAATTCAATTTTAAAAGATCTAAGGAATGATTAAAGCAAAGCAATCTTCCACTTACCTATCTTCCCTCCAATCAAGAAGAAACCAATCTGACATATCAACAATACAATGCTAAGTGCAATGAGTTTCTTCCAACTAAGTGTTTCGAGAACAACCCCTGCCATCTACAATGTCGTTCGCCGTCCAGAGATAGCTCAGAAAACTGTTATGACGATTCTCTGGTAAGAAAATTGAGATATTAACACTGTATTTTGTTTCACCTCACGCCGTCTCTGTTCACAACTGCATGACTTACAGGCAGTGCTTCCTAATATATGCCCTAGCGCAAGCGCAATGTTGTTGATGGATAATATAATTAAGAAAAGTAACATATATTTATGGTCTTGATTCTATCGAAAAATCATCAAATTAGGCTTGAAGCCATATTAAACTTTTCATGTATAATATATGGCTTCTATACCGAACAAAAACAATCACCATACAAATGTTTACTTGCTAATGCCTTTACGAAATTGGACGAGTCTAAACAGAAGTGCTATGGGGGTTGTTTAGAAAGTTGTAAAACTGAAATTGTAGCATCTCGCTAAGGGCACATTGAATCTTGCTAAGACGAGTATTTCAATGATTCTAACTGATAGCAGATACATAATATTTACTTCTTATATAGATTGTTTGTAAAGTTTCCTGGTGTTTTAAACCTGTTTACCCTAACTTCGTAAAAATTTAAAGCGGACATTTTGAATGTCAGAAACTAGGCGCTGTGTACTCTAAATAGAAACTGTGCACTTACAGAGGGTAAATCATTACGTAATTTCTTCTTTAAACGATGCTTGATTATATGCTCTTTATTTAGAAGTTGTTTAACAGTTAGCCTACAATTTTTCACACATACACCTTTCCTCTTGCATCGACGTGAGGATCTTGGAAACTGCCCAGCTTTCTGGATAAGTCTAAAAAAAATTTAATTAAATTAGTTTAAAGATTCTAAACTGATTTTGGTGTTAAATTTCATCACGGTAGACTAGTGTGGTGCATGTATTCTAAAGTCGATTTGTGGTTTTTGAAATCATAAACGGATCATGCCTTTCATGGTGACAGCCGGGGGTGCCATGAAGGCATGATAAGAATGAGAGTGCGTAAATCTAATAGCAGTTATACAAGACAAACATAAAAAGTAGATAAAGATAAAAAGATTAAATAAATTATGTACACAAGATGTAGGCAGGGTTCTATATAAATGATATAACTATCTCATATTTTTTAAAATTCTATAGGGTAACGGTAACTCTATTACACAACAGCAGTAATATTGCAATTGGGAGGTTAGTTGTAATGTCTGAATATTCAGAAATGGGAGATTAAAAAAAAAAAACTGTGTGTTTTAGGATGATAATAGAATGAACACTGCAAAGAACAGAGCATTGTCCATCTTAGCGAGAGAGGCTGATACTGCAGAAAGCTCTCAAATGTCACAAAGGTAAGTATTAGTCGACTAGACAGCAAAAGATTTTATGAACTTTATTTATTTCAGTTATGTTTGAATGACTAATGTATGTAGTATTTTGCATTTACTAACATTATGTCCGAAATAGATATTCTGTGTGCTTCATATTATGTCTACTAGTAAATTATAAGTTGAAAATATTCTTTAAGTATATGGTATGTAGAGCTTCTTGGAATACTCTTAACTGTATGGGAATTTTTTTTCTTCTGAAGGAGAAAGATTTGAAAAAGAAAATCTAAATAATGCTTAATATTAGCTTTGTCCGTTTCTATTCAAAATTATACTAGTAGGAATACATACTCAATTTTTTTACTTTTTTCCAATTGACATTCTTAAGTGTCCATCCAGAGTCAGCATCTCAACCACAGGTTTCCCCTGCAGAACAAGTGATGAATAAGAGAAGACATACTGAAACCCACATTCAAACACAATTTAGCAGCCACGAGAGCTTGAATTCTGCAGCTGAACAGCTGATAAATGACATAAATATGAAGAGAAAAGAGAACACACAGATGATAATTGAATTTAAGGATAGCTTGGATGTGCAGGTGAGTACTTAAAATACACACAGGAATTAGATTTTGCATTTCACCTTTGGTTTTTGAAAAAATGTCTAATGAAAATATGAGACTAATACAGACTAATGCATTTACTGTTTCACAGTTCACCTGGGATTTTTTGTTTGTAGAATCGGGCTTAATACCAGTTTAATATATGTATTTTTTTCCAAGAATCCATAATATCTCTTAATCAATTTAATGAAACCATATTTAATCTAATTAATAGCTTATTTTCCTTTTTGGGTAGTACATGTTAGTAATTCTATCTGAACAGTTACAAAATCTTCTTAAATTGCTCAAAGTAACAGATGGTGTTACAGTTCATTAATTTTGTTATTGAAGGTGCAGCATACTTGTAGAGAGGTTGAAAAAAGAATGTTTGATGTGTACGAAGAGCAAGGAAAAATTCTGCAAGTAAAATTGCAAAACCTTTTCATCATTCTTGACCGAATATCCAAACTGGAAATGGAACTGAAACAATTTAGAAGAGCACTGGGAATGTTGTATCAGGAAGTAGTGACAGACTGACAAAGCAATGATGTTTCATCTGTACAACATAAGTATGGGATGGTGGATAAGGGAATACTGAAACTGTTATAGTAATTAACCCAAAAGGAAAAATTAATCCAACTCAAGATGCTACTTTGTAGAAATTAATAATTGCATCGTTTGCTTTTTTTCATTTTTTGACAAAACAAAAACTTACAGTTTAAATAACTTTGTGTATCCAAGTTGAAAAAGTGATATCTTTTTTCTTTCCAAATGTACATGATGTAATTGACTTTTGACTTTCAAAAGGGTTCTAATAGTTTAGAATTATTGATGAGATTTAAATTCTTAATAAAACTGTTCAGCATATTACAGAGAAAATTTAAGCTATTTGTTGATGTTTTGTTTCTGGCCTTATTATTTTTTTTCTCTAATTCCCTAGAAAATTTTATCAAGCATTGTTTGGCCATTTTAATCTTGTAAGGAAGCAGGTGTACAGGCAGAACTTTATTTATGTTTATAGCCTGAAGAAGTTAAATGTTTCACACACAAGAAAAAGTTAAAAATAAAAAACTACATGTTACTGAAACTGGATTTCAAATTTCATTATATAGCAGCATCAGTTACTTTCAGTATTATACTCGTTATCTAACCAAAAAATAAATGTCAAATGTTTGTTGAGTTTTAAAGCTGATGTAGGGATGATATTTTAAACATGGTTTCCACCCATTTCTGTACTTTAGCCTCCCAAGGAAATTTTTTTTTTTTTTTGCTATGATCATAAAAAAAAGAAAAAAAGAAAGAAATATATATATATATCAATTATTTTTTTTGTGTTTATGTTAAATGGAGTAAATTTTTTAGATGTAAAATTTCCCAATCATTTTAATGAGGTATAGCTGATGATCTACAGGATTCTTATAATTGAAATGAATAACAAATCTGTAGTTCACTCTGCAATTGGCTTTATTGATGATAAGCATCTTCAGCATGATTTTATAAGTAATACTTTTACACAATAGGTTTCACATAGGAAGTACACTAAATGGCTTTAAAACACTTACAACAGATTTAATATATGAAAACTAAATTTGTCAATTTTGATAAACAACTGTAGTGACTTGTATCAAAGTTTGTATATATATATATATATATATATATATATATATATATAGATGGGGTTCTTACAAAGGATACATTGATTTCATCAGAAAAGGACAATTTGAATTGTTTCACTTTCATCATATTCTATCCAGTGTAAGAAAATGGTAATATTTATCTGTTATTGAATACGAAGCAGTCATTATCAGAATTATATCTGCAAAAGCAATGTTCCATTAATCATAGTTCCATAATCATAAAGTTCTTCTTTGCCTGATCTACCATATTTAAATCTGACAGTCCTCTGGGTATTCTACTTCCTTGCGCATGTGCTCAGGCTTGGTGATGAGCTCCTTCAGTGGTCNTATATATATATATATATATATATATATATATATATATATATATATATATATATATATATATATATATATATATAGATGAGGTTCTTACAAAGGATACATTGATTTCATCAGAAAAGGACAATTTGAATTGTTTCACTTTCATCATATTCTATCCAGTGTAAGAAAATGGTAATATTTATCTGTTATTGAATACGAAGCAGTCATTATCAGAATTATATCTGCAAAAGCAATGTTCCATTAATCATAGTTCCATAATCATAAAGTTCTTCTTTGCCTGATCTACCATATTTAAATCTGACAGTCCTCTGGGTATTCTACTTCCTTGCGCATGTGCTCAGGCTTGGTGATGAGCTCCTTCAGTGGTCTTTTGTTGATGTCAGCATCCATCTGTTTGGTTGAGACGGCATTAGCAGGCAGGCAGTGGTAAGGGAGTTGCTCGCGCTGGATGCCAACTTTCTTGCAGGCTGCAGGGCACTGCCTGACTGGTCTCAGAGAGAAGCAGATTTCCTGTTGGCCTCTGTACTCTCTGGTTTCTTTCTTGTTACGGAATATTGGTTTGCATGCTGAGGAAATGAAAAATGCAAAACCAAATGACAAACCAGTGAAACTTTCCATAACAATAATAATTACAAAATAATTTTTCAAATTGAAAATTGCAGATGTTAGCTTGAGAACCTGTTTATAATTCAAAAATGTATATCAAACTGCAATGTTTAGTTAAATAAGGAAAAGAACATAAAAAAAAAACTTTTACTTTGTACAAGGCCTTTTTTTGCAAAACAACTCTGATATTTATATGTAGCATTATCCAAGAGTTGTAAAATCCCATACTGGTAAGAATCCCATAAAAATACCTTATTCTACAAACCTGGTACTTTTGCCTTGATCTGCTTGTTGCTCTTGAGGCTTTCAATCATTTCAGCTGGACATCTAGAACTTGGAATCAAATAGCTGTAGGCAAAATGTTCTGGGTTATCGTAGCGCTCCTTGCGTGGGCCCTCTAGATCATCTTTGGTCTGGCCATTCATGTTACCACACAAACCACATGTCTTACCACGGTACACAGCTGGGTTGTTCTTAAAATGAAAAAAGCAAGCAATGTTAAATATATAAAACATCTTACTTTAATTATCCTTGAAAGTGAATAATTCATCCTGCATGAAATTGAAAAAAAAAAAAAGAAGATAAATTATTCAGTTTTGTTACACACACACACACACACACACACACACACAAAAAAAAAATGCATCCATGGCTGTAGATTCTTTTTATCAAAAGAAGACCTGTGTGACTCAAAAGCTTGATTTAAATAGTTACACGAGGAAGATTTCTATAATATTGATAAAAAATTATCAAGTTTTAAAAATATCAGAAACTGCAAGAAAAAAAGAGGAGAGGAGAAGAAGAGAGGTAGAGAGGCAGAAAAGATTAAACAACAATCTTATCAAATTGTACCTGTACTTTGACTGTCGCCAAGTCTGTCTGAACAGACAGGCCCAGTTCTTGGCAACTAATCACATAAAGGTTTGCCGTCTTGCGCACTGTAGCAATAATAGGACTGCTGGAAAATTATGAATGGTACCATGTAATGAGGCACTTCAGATGAATAATCAAATATCACAGATTTAACACAATATTACTGTGTTAAGTTTCCAACAAAATTTTGTGTTATGAAAATATTGCTTACTGATGCAGAAAAAATACACAATAAGAGATCAGTGCCAATGCTAAAAGTGTATTTTTTTTCCAGATGCCAAAGGTGTACCTGGGACTTTCTGCCTCACGAATCTTCAGCTCTCCAGATGGAGGGACTGCCTTTTTGGCACCATTTACTATAATTTCAGCAGATTTTCCCTGAGGTGTCAGCTGGATATTAACTTTCTTCTTAAGGGCAATTCTAATACCCTGATTGAAAGAGAAAATTCAAATGCATTACAAATGTACATAATGGAAAGATGCGAATTATTATACCCCAGAACAAGACATCTGAATGATTCCAAACAAACATTAACTGAGAAGAACAATATATCAAACAACTGTGTAAATGTGCCATGTTTGTTGTTAGAGAAAATTGATAAGTGACAGAATGAAACAATTTTGCTATTATATTACAGTATGTTATTTAAAATGTCCTTACTATTTGGTCATTGGCTTTATTACTCTCCAAAATGACCATAAAGCTTTCTCTTGGGGAGCAGTCCTTGGACAGCAACACATCGCAAGGAGCTTTGGGTAATTTGGAAGCAATTCCATCATAGGTTTTCACAGTGCCCCCTTGAACTTTGCAGACAGCTATAAATGTAAAATAATTTCTTCAACAATGTGCACTTCAAATTTTACCAGGCAGCACATGCTACCAAATGGGCAGACATATATTGTAATAACATGTCAAAATAATAATAATAATAATAATAATTCATTGAGCACAAAGAAATGGTTTACATTTACAGGCTCTCTAACTGATACAAATATTAAAAGAATAATTTGAGTAGTAAACTATGCTCATCCACGCAGGGATACACGCTTTCTAATTGCACTGTTTACAAATTTACGTATGGCAATCACACTCTGCACAGAGAGTGGATTGAGTAAAATAGATAGTTTATTGTCTGTTGGACCCTGCAAATTCACCTCCGGTATGGAAGCGAACAGTATTTCCCGTTCGACTCTGTGTTCACTGTAAAATGGTTTCAACAATCACATAAAAAAAAAACTGGTGAATATAAAGGGATACAAACTGACACAGAATGGAAATTTGTAGAAAAGTTTAAATTCATGAAAAACTATTCAATTTAACAATTTTTTATGTAAGTAATTTGATGATAGTAATTATGTTTTTATTTATCCAATTAGTGATTACGCGTAATGAGGAAAACACAAAATACAATTTTTGGCAATTTTAACATATGATTACACAATGTGTGATTGCATAATCACCAGTTTTAATAATGGACTAGTATTATTGTTGACATTCAGAAAATGTGAATAGGACAGCCCTATATAAACACATGGATATAAACTATCACTTGGAAAATGCAAATGTGAGTTAAAAAAAAAAAAAGGATAGGACAACTCTCAGTAAAATGTTCTAATTAATCCAGCTGATTTTCAAATGTGAGCTGAGTTAAAGTGCAGTAAAGCATTCCTATTAAGTTATATATATTTGCGATCATTACAACTTACCAGGTAGTTTGCCACCACTTGCTTGCTGCAAAGTTGCCTCAATGATAGGAGTGGTGAGGGAGACAGTGGGCAGAGCAAAGGGGAGAGGGATGCTTTGGAATGTAGAAATCTCAGTGGGAGTCTGGCATCTTACAGCAATCTGGGGCTGAGAAAATATGAAATAATTGTGTTTAAATGATATAGTTAAGTGACAGATAGGGAAATGTTCAAGATTTTAATAATATGTTTAAGATAGTGCAAATGATACACACACTCTAGTGTACCTTTTCCTTACCTGGTTTGGACTTCCTATACTTGTAGCCTGGATTCTGATTTTGTTTGGCTGGTTGTTAACATCAATGTCCTCCACACTCAGACGGCTGTACTGCTGGTATTTAGCGTAGCGGTAGGCACTGGAGATGGCTGCTCTAAACCAATAGGGAAGCTAAAAAGAATCCATCAGAAATATGCGTTAACAAAATTTGCTGTGATGTGATAAATACAAATTAGATGTTAACTGTAAATTTTAAAGAAAAAAAAAAGAAACATAAGACTTATTTAATGGAATAATTTTTCTCTTCCTGTATTTGATGATATATTTCAGCATTGTAAGGCAAGTCTTTACGAAATCACTCCTACATGTACCTGCTGGTATTGGATCAACACATCCCACTGTTGCAGCCTAGCAGCCTCCTGTCTCAGTCTCTCACACGCCACTGCTCTCTCATATGTGATGTTTTGTGCACGTGATGAAGGGTTGGCCCAGTCAGCAGCTTGCCCACCAGATTGCCTGGCATACTTGTTACGGTATGTCTGTTGATGCTGGGGGGCACTAGCAGGCTGCCCCTGGGGATTTCCTTGACACTGTTCCCTCAGCTGCTGTATCTGTTCACTCTCTTGTTGAATCTGCCCACTGCCTTTGCCTGCTAGAGCCTGGATCAGAAAATAAGATTATTTATGTCTCCATGTGAATTGATACGGAAAACTGAGTGTTGGGTTACCTTGAAAATCAATTCCAATATATCGCTACAAACCACATACAAATCAGAAAATATAATTTATTGACATTAATTAACTTAACATTAATCTCTACTATAAAAGACATAGATCATTTTAAAGAAGTCATCTAAAATACAACATGACAAATTAGCCATTAATAAAGAATCTTATTAGCTGAAACAAATCAGAATGTCGCTGTTTCACCACTTGCCTTGATAGCAATCTGTGGGTTGCTGCACTGTCTGCCCCATGCCACAGTGACTCCTGCATCAACAACCTTCTGAGACTGAGGGACCTGGGCGATTGCCACATTGTCAGGGAGTCTGGGATAGCTCACCTGACCATCAACACATGCCTAAAAGAGTAATTTTTAAAATTTTTTTAAAAAAATATTTCTTCATTTCTGATAAAGAATTGACATATTAATAAATGTGGATTTTATTGAAACTTTAATATTCCAGCTCAAATAGTATTACTGAAAAGCTGCTGAACAGGACTTTTAGTGTTATCTTTATTACCTATCTTTGTTTATTACCTATCGTTGTCTAACAATTTATAAAAAATATCTGAATTATCTATCACTGATTGAAAAATAAATATTTAACTACAAAAACTCACAGTGTTATATATTTCTGCTAAAGAACTTTAAAAAGCAAAAAAGATGCTGTTCATCAACTCTGGGCCATTGAAAAAATTGTTCAAATGCACATACACAAATTGACAGTTGTTTTCAAATGGCATGAGAAACTTACCCTCCATGGGTACTCCACAACACCTGGGATAGGAGTAGGGACAATCACATGCGCACTCACTTTGCTACGCTGAGACTCTTGGTCACGTGTATAGGCCAAACTGACCTTAGCCTGGCGAGGCTGACTTCCTCCTTGAGCTGTGTTAGAAACATTGTAAAAGAAGTTAGACAAAATCACAAATATTAAATCTTTAACAATAAGAAAAAACTAAACACCTGTTTAGAAAATTTTATATAAAATGCTGTAAAGAAATTAACAGGATAGGTTAATTGTAAATGTTATGCAACTTACATGTACTTCTGATGCACCTACTTGTAGGTGACTGTAAATGAGTGACTATGTATGTAATGGTTTTAATGGCTGTTGTATCACTTTTTCATCTTTCTTTTTTTAAATCTCACTCTTGTGTGTGCACAAACTATAACTAGTGTATTTCTGTAGAATGAAAATAAATATATTACATTGGACAGCAAACAAGATCTGAGTGCGTTCATATGGACCAGCAGGCTGTGACCCATAGACAGGGCTGGAATATCCAATCTTTGAGCTTTCTTCTTCCTCCTGACCACCAAAACCAAAGTAGCTCCAGAAGCCTCCCTCAGATGCTCCATCTTGTTGTTGCTCGGTATAAGGTGGGCTTCCACCTGCAACCGATCCACCTCCCTGTTGTCTGCCAGGAACTGGGCTGATTTTCACGGACAGTGGTTCATTAATTTCACTTACTTGCTGTCTCCTGTTGAAGTATGGAAAAAAATTAGAAAATCATTCTAATATTAAAGGTGGGATGAAACTTGACCACATAATTTAACTACAAACTTATCATATTTAAAGCATGAAAAGACATATTTTTACTTCTTCAACTGAGAATATACTTTGGTTCAAACTCACCTGTATTCGAAGGTAATCTGGTAAGCCTGTGCTGCATTACCTGCAGGTCGAACCTTGACCTGCAGATTTTGCTTGCCTACCAGTGGGTGGAATGGGGCAAAAGGAGCACCAGTGCGATTTACATACTGGGCAAAAATCTCAAATTCAACACCAAGACCTTCACCGCCATATCTGTATCTTCTCTAGAAGAACAGAAGACATTAATTTAATTATTATATTTTCTGTTTAATCTCCACAAACATGCTGACTTACTCAACCTTTATTACATTTTGCTGATATTATATATACTTATTCATGGAAAAATATATCATGGAATTTTTTTAAAAGTTGCGTCACATCTTTTATTAGGTCTTTGTGCAAATACACCATTCCTTCAATTCCATGATTGATCCGCTTTGCAAGTTTAGGCTCCCAGAATACTTCTATTAAGTGCAGAGTAAAAGTTAGTGAAATCAAAACAATTCTATTTCATCCAGTTTCAATATTCTCCTACCTGTTGTGGAACATTGACCTCCTGTCCTGCGATCTCTATGCATTGTTCCTGTGCAGGCTGGGACGGCTGGCCAGGGACATCTCTCCAGCAGGTCATGGGGACAGCAGTGGCACCCACAAGTGTCACCTCCTGGAAACAATAGGGTGCACAATTTATTTCAAAATGTAATTCAGCAGCTGAAGTTCTATTTGAACTGAAGATCTTACATGTGCTTAAGAATATGCAGTATATATGTAGTTGTGCTAAAAGAATGTTTACTATCAAAAGATTATATGTCAAATAATTTGGATAAATATTCAGTGTTAAGCTGCAAAAGCTTGTGATGTGATACAATTAATATATAATAAAATAATATTTTGATATAATCTATAACTAAGAAAGCAAAATGTTCAGAAGTGATGTTTGATGTGTTTATGCGACTAGTATGTAAAATCCAATTCATACACATTTTTATAATGATGATTTATTGATGAATTTACACCATCTTGTTTCCCAGTTTTCTAAAGTAAAACTAACCTGTTGTGGAGCATGGATCTGAGCAGTAAGCTGGCTGGTCTTGGTGTAGTACTGGGCATTGCCACGAATGGCCTGTCCAGAGCTGACGCGCAACTTGGCAGCAGCAGAGGCAGTAAACAAAACACCATCACAACCCATACGGTAGGTCTTCTCAAAAGCAATTCTACAAATAAATTTATTTACATATATTGTGCAAAATGTGGCGAAAAATGAAACAAATACAAAGAATCTTCAGGGCCAAAGAATCATGTTCTCTAATATTTATGTTCAACAGTGTTACATTCACTTTTATGAACCTCTATCATGCCACAAAACTTTCAAATTATAACTGTCCTTTTGATGTAAGATCTAATTTACCTTGGTGTCAGACTTGCTTCAATGTTGATAACATCAGGGATCAGGCTTCCAGCTGGGGTAGTCTTTGCCTTTATTTGTCCTTCAATTCTTACTGCAGTGATTGCAGTGAGGTTAAGAGTCAGTGGCAGACCAATACATGTTGGCACTTGGTAGGTAGCATCAGCATTGACAAAAGAGCGAACGTAATCTACTGGCATTCCCTGTTCACTCTGGATTTGCTGCAGATCAAAGTAATCTGGAATTTTTGGTACTTATTTATTATTATTATTTTTTTAAATTGTAAAATAAATATGAAATCTTGTTTCAAATGTATTATTTCAGTGTATACTTAAACTTCATAGATTAATCATTTTTAAAATGTCAAATAAAGTGGTATATTCCCCATAATCTTATCTAATATTGCTAATGTATCAAGTGTCAAGTTTAGTTTTCTAATATAATATGCTTATAATAATTAACAGCTGAAGCAAAGTAGTGGATCTATAGTCTTTAAGTTGTTAATTCTTCATTTATAATAGATGTCAATGTACTTCTTACCAGTCAGCAACTGTCTTACAGACAATGGGTCCAGTGTGTAGTAGGCTACCTCTCTCTCATTGACTCTGTAGTACACTTGACCATTCAGTCTCTCAGACTGGCAACCTTGAAGTTTCAACTGATAAAACATAAACAAAACTGGAAACATTAAAAAGCTGGTTATGATTAAATACATTTTTATGTTCACATATGATGTCCCTAATTATGTGTAGTTTTTCCCGTGAAAGTTTAATATAACATAATATGAAAAAAAGTTAATTACTTCAATCTGTTACACAAAANGTATATATATATATATATATATATATATATATATATATAGATGGGGTTCTTACAAAGGATACATTGATTTCATCAGAAAAGGACAATTTGAATTGTTTCACTTTCATCATATTCTATCCAGTGTAAGAAAATGGTAATATTTATCTGTTATTGAATACGAAGCAGTCATTATCAGAATTATATCTGCAAAAGCAATGTTCCATTAATCATAGTTCCATAATCATAAAGTTCTTCTTTGCCTGATCTACCATATTTAAATCTGACAGTCCTCTGGGTATTCTACTTCCTTGCGCATGTGCTCAGGCTTGGTGATGAGCTCCTTCAGTGGTCTTTTGTTGATGTCAGCATCCATCTGTTTGGTTGAGACAGCATTAGCAGGCAGGCAGTGGTAAGGGAGTTGCTCGCGCTGGATGCCAACTTTCTTGCAGGCTGCAGGGCACTGCCTGACTGGTCTCAGAGAGAAGCAGATTTCCTGTTGGCCTCTGTACTCTCTGGTTTCTTTCTTGTTACGGAATATTGGTTTGCATGCTGAGGAAATGAAAAATGCAAAACCAAATGACAAACCAGTGAAACTTTCCATAAGAATAATAATTACAAAATAATTTTTCAAATTGAAAATTGCAGATGTTAGCTTGAGAACCTGTTTATAATTCAAAAATATATATCAAACTGCAATGTTTAGTTAAAGGGATAATAACTCTTCGTTTCGGCCAGAAAATGAATTTTCCTGGAGTAAACGACAATTTTCCCATACTTACCAATGGTTAATGAATCCATTTTTACATTCAAAGTTAGTCCCTGGTTTTTTTCTAAAAAGTTTGGTTTTTTGTTAAAATCTCTTAAGAGATTTTAACAGAGTATAGCCATCAATGGAGGTCACGTGGTCTAAAGACAAGCTCAGATATCAGAATAATAGCTATAACTGCCGTTTTTTGTGGTAAAACAGAATATATTATATTTCTATGAGTTATTCACAATGTTTTTATTGTGAAATATAGATCTCATACGAAGAGTTATTATCCCTTTAAATAAGGAAAAGAACATAAAAAAAAACTTTTACTTTGTACAAGGCCTTTTTTTGCAAAACAACTCTGATATTTATCTGTAGCATTATCCAAGAGTTGTAAAATCCCACACTGGTAAGAATCCCATAAAAATACCTTATTCTACAAACCTGGTACTTTTGCCTTGATCTGCTTGTTGCTCTTGAGGCTTTCAATCATTTCAGCTGGACATCTAGAACTTGGAATCAAATAGCTGTAGGCAAAATGTTCTGGGTTATCGTAGCGCTCCTTGCGTGGGCCCTCTAGATCATCTTTGGTCTGGCCATTCATGTTACCACACAAACCACATGTCTTACCACGGTACACAGCTGGGTTGTTCTTAAAATGAAAAAAGCAAGCAATGTTAAATATATAAAACATCTTACTTTAATTATCCTTGAAAGTGAATAATTCATCCTGCATGAAATTGAAAAAAAAAAAAGAAGATAAATTATTCAGTTTTGTTACACACACACACACACACACACACACACACAAAAAAAAAAAAAAAAAATTGCATCCATGGCTGTAGATTCTTTTTATCAAAAGAAGACCTGTGTGACTCAAAAGCTTGATTTAAATAGTTACACGAGGAAGATTTCTATAATATTGATACAAAATTATCAACAGTTTTAAAAATATCAGAAACTGCAAGAAAAAAAGAGGAGAGGAGAAGAAGAGAGGTAGAGAGGCAGAAAAGATTAAACAACAATCTTATCAAATTGTACCTGTACTTTGACTGTCGCCAAGTCTGTCTGAACAGACAGGCCCAGTTCTTGGCAACTAATCACATAAAGGTTTGCCGTCTTGCGTACTGTAGCAATAATAGGACTGCTGGAAAATTATGAATGGTACCATGTAATGAGGCACTTCAGATGAATAATCAAATATCACAGATTTAACACCATATTACTGTGTTAAGTTTCCAACAAAATTTTGTGTTATGAAAATATTGCTTACTGATGCAGAAAAAATACACAATAAGAGATCAGTGCCAATGCTAAAAGTGTATTTTTTTTCCAGATGCCAAAGGTGTACCTGGGACTTTCTGCCTCACGAATCTTCAGCTCTCCAGATGGAGGGACTGCCTTTTTGGCACCATTTACTATAATTTCAGCAGATTTTCCCTGAGGTGTCAGCTGGATATTAACTTTCTTCTTAAGGGCAATTCTAATACCCTGATTGAAAGAGAAAATTCAAATGCATTACAAATGTACATAATGGAAAGATGCGAATTATTATACCCCAGAACAAGACATCTGAATGATTCCAAACAAACATTAACTGAGAAGAACAATATATCAAACAACTGTGTAAATGTGCCATACTTGTTGTTAGAGAAAATTGATAAGTGACAGAATGAAACAATTTTGCTATTATATTACAGTATGTTATTTAAAATGTCCTTACTATTTGGTCATTGGCTTTATTACTCTCCAAAATGACCATAAAGCTTTCTCTTGGGGAGCAGTCCTTGGACAGCAACACATCGCAAGGAGCTTTGGGTAATTTGGAAGCAATTCCATCATAGGTTTTCACAGTGCCCCCTTGAACTTTGCAGACAGCTATAAATGTAAAATAATTTCTTCAACAATGTGCACTTCAAATTTTACCAGGCAGCACATGCTACCAAATGGGCAGACACACATATTGTAATAACATGTCAAAATAATAATAATAATAATAATTCATTAAGCACAAAGAAATGGTTTACATTTACAGGCTCTCTAACTGATACAAATATTAAAAGAATAATTTGAGTAGTAAACTATGCTCATCCACGCAGGGATACACGCTTTCTAATTGCACTGTACAAATTTACATATGGCAATCACACTCTGCACAGAGAGTGGATTGAGTAAAATAGATAGTTTATTGTCTGTTGGACCCTGCAAATTCACCTCCGGTATGGAAGCGAACAGTATTTCCCGTTCGACTCTGTGTTCACTGCAAAATGGTTTCAACAATAACATAAAAAAAAAACTGGTGAATATTAACGGATACAAACTGACACAAAATGGAAATTTGTAGAAAAGTTTAAATTCATGGAAAACTATTCAATTTAACAATTTTTTACGTAAGTAATTTTGATGATAGTAATTATGTTTTTATTTATCCAATTAGTGATGAATGAGGAAAACACAAAATATAATTTTTGGCAATTTTAACATATGATTACACAATGTGTGATTGCGTAATCACCAGTTTTAATAATGGACTAGTATTATTGTTGACATTCAAAAAATGTGAATAGGACAGCCTTATATAAACACATGGATATAAACTATCACTTGGAAAATGCAAATGTGAGTAAAAAAAAAAAAAAAGGACAGGACAACTCTGAGTAAAATGTTCTAATTAATCCAGCTGATTTTCAAATGTGAGCTGAGTTAAAGTGCAGTAAAGCATTCCTATTAAGTTATATATATTTGCAGTCATTACAACTTACCAGGTAGTTTGCCACCACTTGCTTGCTGCAAAGTTGCCTCAACAATAGGGGTGGTGAGGGAGACAGTGGGCAGAGCAAAGGGGAGAGGGATGCTTTGGAATGTAGAAATCTCAGTGGGAGTCTGGCATCTTACAGCAATCTGGGGCTGAGAAAATATGAAATAATTGGGTTTAAATGGTATAGTTAAGTGACAGATAGGGAAATGTTCAAGATTTTAATCATATGTTTTAAGATAGTGCAAATGATAAATACACTCTAGTGTACCTTTTCCTTACCTGGTTTGGACTTCCTATACTTGTAGCCTGGATTCTGATTTTGTTTGGCTGGTTGTTAACATCAATGTCCTCCACACTCAGACGGCTGTACTGCTGGTATTTAGCATAGCGGTAGGCACTGGAGATGGCTGCTCTAAACCAATAGGGAAGCTAAAAAGAATCCATCAGAAATATGCGTTAACAAAATTTGCTGTGTTGTGATAAATACAAATTAGATGTTAACTGTAAATTTTAAAGAAAAAAAAAAGAAACATAAGACTAATTTAATGGAATAATTTTTCTCTTCCTGTATTTTATGATATATTTCAGCATTGTAAGGCAAGTCTTTACGAAATCACTCCTACATGTACCTGCTGGTATTGGATCAACACATCCCACTGTTGCAGCCTAGCAGCCTCCTGTCTCAGTCTCTCACACGCCACTGCTCTCTCATATGTGATGTTTTGTGCACGTGATGAAGGGTTGGCCCAGTCAGCAGCTTGCCCACCAGATTGCCTGGCATACTTGTTACGGTATGTCTGTTGATGCTGGGGGGCACTAGCAGGCTGCCCCTGGGGATTTCCTTGACACTGTTCCCTCAGCTGCTGTATCTGTTCACTCTCTTGTTGAATCTGCCCACTGCCTTTGCCTGCTAGAGCCTGGATCAGAAAATAAGATTATGTATGTCTCCATGTGAATTGATACGGAAAACTGAGTGTTGGGTTACCTTCCAATATATCGCTACAAACCACATACAAATCAGAAAATATAATTTATTGACATTAATTAACTTAACATTAATCTCTACTATAAAAGACATAGATCATTTTAAAGAAGTCATCTAAAATACAACATGACAAATTAGCCATTAATAAAGAATCTTATTAGCTGAAACAAATCAGAATGTCGCTGTTTCACCACTTGCCTTGATAGCAATCTGTGGGTTGCTGCACTGTCTGCCCCATGCCACAGTGACTCCTGCATCAACAACCTTCTGAGACTGAGGGACCTGGGCGATTGCCACATTGTCAGGGAGTCTGGGATAGCTCACTTGACCATCAACACATGCCTAAAAGAGTAATTTTTTAAAATTTTTTAAAAAAATATTTCTTCATTTCTGATAAAGAATTGACATGTTAATAAATGTGGATTTTATTGAAACTTTAATATTCCAGCTCAAATAGTATTACTGAAAAGCTGCTGAACAGGACTTTTAGTGTTATCTTTATTACCTATCTTTGTTTATTACCTATCGTTGTCTAACAATTTATAAAAAATATCTGAATTATCTATCACTGATTGAAAAATAAATATTTAACTACAAAAATTCACAGTGTTATATATTTCTGCTAAAGAACTTTAAAAAGCAAAAAAGATGCTGTTCATCAACTCTGGGCCATTGAAAAAATTGTTCAAATGCACATACACAAATTGACAGTTGTTTTCAAATGGCATGAGAAACTTACCCTCCATGGGTACTCCACAACACCTGGGATAGGAGTAGGGACAATCACATGCGCACTCACTTTGCTACGCTGAGACTCTTGGTCACGTGTATAGGCCAAACTGACCTTAGCCTGGCGAGGCTGACTTCCTCCTTGAGCTGTGTTAGAAACATTGTAAAAGAAGTTAGACAAAATCACAAATATTAAATCTTTAACAATAAGAAAAAACTAAACACCTGTTTAGAAAATTTTATATAAAATGCTGTAAAGAAATTAACAGGATAGGTTAATTGTAAATGTTATGCAACTTACATGTACTTCCGATGCACCTACTTGTAGGTGACTGTAAATGAGTGACTATGTACATGTATGTAATGGTTTTAATGGCTGTTGTATCACTTTTTCATCTTTCTTTTTTTAAATCTCACTCTTGTGTGTGCCCAAACTATAACTAGTGTATTTCTGTAGAATGAAAATAAATATATTACATTGCACAGCAAACAAGATCTGAGTGCGTTCATATGGACCAGCAGGCTGTGGCCCATAGGCAGGGCTGGAATATCCAATCTTTGAGCTTTCTTCTTCCTCCTGACCACCAAAACCAAAGTAGCTCCAGAAGCCTCCCTCAGATGCTCCATCTTGTTGTTGCTCGGTATAAGGTGGGCTTCCACCTGCAACCGATCCACCTCCCTGTTGTCTGCCAGGAACTGGGCTGATTTTCACGGACAGTGGTTCATTAATTTCACTTACTTGCTGTCTCCTGTTGAAGTATGGAAAAAAATTAGAAAATCATTCTAATATTAAAGGTGGGACAAAACTTGACCACAGAATTTAACTACAAACTTATCATATTTAAAGCATGAAAAGACATATTTTTACTTCTTCAACTGAGAATATACTTTGGTTCAAACTCACCTGTATTCGAAGGTAATCTGGTAAGCCTGTGCTGCATTACCTGCAGGTCGAACCTTGACCTGCAGATTTTGCTTGCCTACCAGTGGGTGGAATGGGGCAAAAGGAGCACCAGTGCGATTTACATACTGGGCAAAAATCTCAAATTCAACACCAAGACCTTCACCGCCATATCTGTATCTTCTCTAGAAGAACAGAAGACATTAATTTAATTATTATATTTTCTGTTTAATCTCCACAAACATGCTGACTTACTCAACCTTTATTACATTTTGCTGATATTATATATACTTATTCATGGAAAAATATGTCATGGAATTTTTTTTAAAGTTGCGTCACATCTTTTATTAGGTCTTTGTGCAAATACACCATTCCTTCAATTCCATGATTGATCTGCTTTGCAAGTTTAGGCTCCCAGAATACTTCTATTAAGTGCAGAGTAAAAGTTAGTGAAATCAAAACAATTCTATTTCATCCAGTTTCAATATTCTCCTACCTGTTGTGGAACATTGACCTCCTGTCCTGCGATCTCTATGCATTGTTCCTGTGCAGGCTGGGACGGCTGGCCAGGGACATCTCTCCAGCAGGTCATGGGGACAGCAGTGGCACCCACAAGTGTCACCTCCTGGAAACAATAGGGTGCACAATTTATTTCAAAATGTAATTCAGCAGCTGAAGTTCTATTTGAACTGAAGATCTTACATGTGCTTAGGAATATGCAGTATATGTAGTTGTGCTAAAAGAATGTTTACTATCAAAAGATTATATGTCAAATAATTTGGATAAATATTCAGTGTTAAGCTGCAAAAGCTTGTGATGTGATACAATTAATATATAATAAAATAATATTTTGATATAATCTATAACTAAGAAAGCAAAATGTTCAGAAGTGATGTTTGATGTGTTTATGCAACTAGTATGTAAAATCCAATTCATACACATTTTTATAATGATGATTTATTGACGAATTTACACCATCTTGTTTCCCAAAGTAAAACTAACCTGTTGTGGAGCATGGATCTGAGCAGTAAGCTGGCTGGTCTTGGTGTAGTACTGGGCATTGCCACGAATGGCCTGTCCAGAGCTGACGCGCAACTTAGCAGCAGCAGAGGCAGTAAACAAAACACCATCACAACCCATACGGTAGGTCTTCTCAAAAGCAATTCTACAAATAAATTTCTTTACATATATTGTGCAAAATGTGGCGAAAAATGAAACAAATACAAAGAATCTTCAGGGCCAAAGAATCATGTTCTCTAATATTTATGTTCAACAGTGTTACGTTCACTTTTATGAACCTCTATCATGCCACAAAACTTTCAAATTATAACTGTCCTTTTGATGCAAGATCTAATTTACCTTGGTGTAAGACTTGCTTCAATGCTGATAACATCAGGGATCAGGCTTCCAGCTGGGGTAGTCTTTGCCTTTATTTGTCCTTCAATTCTTACTGCAGTGATTGCAGTGAGGTTAAGAGTCAGTGGCAGACCAATACAGGTGGGCATTTGGTAGGTAGCATCAGCATTGACAAAAGAGCGAACATAATCTACTGGCATTCCTTGTTCACTCTGGATCTGCTGCAGATCAAAGTAATCTGGAATTTTTGGTACTTATTTATTATTACTATTACTATTTTTAATTGTAAAATAAACATGAAATCTTGTTTCAAATGTATTATTTCACTGTATTCTTAAACTTCATGGATTATTCATTTTTAAAATGTCAAATAAAGTGGTATATTCCGCATAATCTTATCTAATATTGCTAATGTATGAAGTGTCAAGTTTAGTTTTCTAATATAAAAGGCTTATAATAATTAACAGCTGAAGCAAAGTAGTGGATCTATAGTCTTTAAGTTGTTAATTCTTCATTTATAATAGATGTCAATGTACTTCTTACCAGTCAGCAACTGTCTTACAGACAATGGGTCCAGTGTGTAGTAGGCTACCTCTCTCTCATTGACTCTGTAGTACACTTGACCATTCAGTCTCTCAGACTGGCAACCTTGAAGTTTCAACTGATAAAACATAAACAAAACTGGAAACATTAAAAAGCTGGTTATGATTAAATACATATTTATGTTCACATATGATGTCCCTAATTATGTGTAGTTTTTCCCGTGAAAGTTTAATATAACATAATATGAAAAAAAGTTGATTACTTCAATCTGTTACACAGAATTTGTTCACTTTAAGTCTGCCTATATGACTGATATCATGTACCCTGAAAAGCATCATTATATCACCCAGTTTGAGTTTTTTTTAATGGTACAATTAATAATTTAAATTTTACATGTTCCTTGATTCTTTCTTGTTCCTGAACAATGTTCTGATTGACTGGCCCCTCCCTCTGTTGGTAATGTCTGGCACCTCTGGCTGAGTGTCTAGGGCTCTGGAGAGCATCCTTGAATGTCTTCTTAATGATGTTGAAAGCAGTTTGTTTTGGGGCAAAGATTGCTTCCAAAATGCTCTGTAGTCCCTCAGCTCTGAAGCCAACCTAAAGGAAAACGTTTCAAACATCGCATAGTGGAAGCTCTATTGTAATAGTAATACAATGTCCATTCAGTTTAGGGAAAATCCACCAAATTTAATGAAAAGCTTAAGCTAGTTCTAGACAAAACATGTATAAAGTGCCTACTTACCTCAAATAGGTTTGTGGAGAATCCAAACATAGCAAGGTCATATCTGGCAGCCAGTGAACGTGGGAGGAGAGAGTATGGACTGTTTACTTTGTGGATTCCCTGAGCAAAACCAATCTTCAGATCATTATAGTATTTGCTATAGTGCATGGCCTTGGAGTACTGGAAGCCTGGGTTGTATGGCCTACAGAAACGGAGAGCAAACTGCGCACGTCTGGCCAGAGTCCTGTAGCAGGGATGTGAGGCATTGGCCACAGTAATAAGGTATGAGTAAACGTAGGAGCCGACTTCCAAGTCTTGTTCTCTCCTAAGAGACTGAGCAACAAGTTGAAGAGCTGTGCGGCTTGGGCTTTGTCCTATGAAGATCCTGAAGGCAGCAAGCCTGAGCTCTGTTGGTTCTTCACCATCAAAGTACACTGTCAGACAAACGTCATTGATCTGAAGAGAAATGTAAAACACGTTTATGTATTTTTTTGTTAGAATATTTCTGTTTGAGCAATTGAAAACAAAACTATTGACTGATGCCCAGTAAATTATATCTTTTACCATATCATGTATTTCCTGTCTGTAATTTAAAAATAGTTGATCCATTCCTGTTAAAGTCTAAATTGTGAAATAAAAATCTTTAATATCACTTCAGAGCTATCAGTTTTTGTTTATATCTCTCCAAATATTTTGCCAATGGTGTCTTACCCTGTTTGGAATAGATCCTACAAGATTTCTCAAAGCATTTACAGCCACCACACGCAGTTCCTGTGGCTGTTGCTTATCCTGAATCACCTTCTTCAACCAGGGAAAACTTCCTTCAATTCCTGCATTGCCAAAAGCCTTCAAAACAAGGATCTTCTCATCTCTATTCTGACCCTGGTTATACAAAGCTTGAAGTTGCTGGACATACTTATTAAGCCTGGTTTCAGTGCAGCCTTGGTCCCTGGCATACGGTCTTTGGGATGGGTATGGGTGCCAGGTACAGCTGGCATTTATCAGGGCCCCAGCTGACAGGAGGCAGGAACGGCGCACTATGGGGCTGTATGATGCAGGGAGATTCTGGTAAAGTGCCTGCAAGGGTAGGCCAAACATCACTACTAATTTTAATGGATGAATATAGTGTGAATGCCAAATACTTACTCAGTATACTCAGAAAGGAAATAATATTTCAGCATACTTTTTTCACTTAGTAAATTTATACACATTGTATTAAAGGTATGAGTACCAATTTTTCCTAAAAACTGCAATTGCACTTATATAACCATGGCTATGAAGTAAACTTTACCAGGAGTTGGTCAGCCATGGAGAGGTTTGGCAGTGGACTAAAGGCTAAGCCTGACAAAACTTGAGCAGCTTCACGGTCTGCTAATTGACCTCTCTTGATGGCTGTTGCTACCCAATCCACTATAGCTCCATTGCTCACAAGGGGCAACACATCGAACAGTACTTGTCTGCAATAGAAAAAAGTGTCTATGTTGTAATTTGACATTTATAACAATTTGGCATGTGTTCAAATTTGGCATTTAACTTTCTTTGATGGATTTAAAGCAAACAAAATCATGCCTTGCTCTTTTTAAATCATATACATTCATACATTTTATTTAAGAATTAAACTTCAAAACAAGCAAATAATTCTGTTTTACTATACTACCTACCTTGCTCTCTGGCTCTGTTGGTCATTCAGTTGTTGTCTCCATCCTTGCTGTTCATATTCCTGGTGGTGTTGCTGTTTCCTTCCCTGATGCCTTTGTTTCTGCTGCCTCTGGTCTTGCTGGCCATAGCTCTGTTGTCCCTGGCCTTGTTGGCCATATCTCTGTTGTCTCTGGCCCTGCTGAATTGTTGGTGCTGAGCCTTGCTGGCAGTACTGTTGCCAGATTGCAGCCAGTTGTTCAGTGCTGGACTGACGCAGGGAGCGCAGGAGAGCAGCAATATACTTGGGTGCCTCTACTGGAACCCCCTGGTCAAGTTCTGCGGTGATTTGGGACAGAAGCTGTCCAACCTGAAATATACATATTTTCTTTCAAAGTCAAGTTGTAAAAACACAGTGTTTATCATATTACTATGCAAAATATAGAGTGTACATGTAAAGACAATCAAATTGTGATTTTGGATGAACAAACCTGTTGCTTTTTAGCCACAATTTCACTGGGTGTGCTTGGTCTTGGCTGCCACTCTGGATTCTTTGCTACTTCTTCTCTCTTGGGGATGATCATTCTTAGGTTTTCCTGGTGGATTTGTGGGTTTGTGGGTGCAGGGATGGGCGCACCGTTCTGGTTGGCTCCTTGAATACGTACACATTGGCTGAAAAAGTATATGGTTGAAATTCTAGTTGAACCATGATAATTCAAAGGGGGAAGATTTTGTGTAAAAAATTTAATCAATAAATCTTTACAGCATGCAATTATCAATGAACACACTTTCACTCCTTCAAAATAATCCATTTTCTTCACTTTGGCTACAGCACTTTTTTCCCTTCTTCATCAATTTTAAAAGTAAGAACTTCTATCCATATAAATCTTGATGTTTATAATATAGATGTAATAAAGTAGCAATATTAGCTTTTCATGTGAACCATGAAAATGTCTTCCACTTTTCACACTCTTTTTCCAGTTTCACAAACATTAAACAATAAATGCCCATCTCACTTCTAAACACTTGTTCAAAACTTTTTCAAAAGTACAACCCCATACTTACTTGATGTATGTGACAGCACTGCCTCCCTGCTCAGAGTATGGAGTGAAGACATGCTGGCTCTCTACTACTGCTGATTCTATAACATTGCCATTTTGGCCTTGACTGGAGATGTTGTAGCGGGCTTGGGTGCCAGATCTCAACAGAGGCTGTTGCTGTGAATAATAATAATAATAATAATAATAATAATAAATTTATTTGAGTCTAAAATCCATAAAATGTTCTGTGACCTAACAAATGTAGACTTTACAAATAAAATACGAAGTTTAAAGGATTATCTTAAATTGAAAAGTAATGGTATTAAAAGTAAAGAGAAAAATGTCCCATTACAATGTTCTGTAAAATTTTTAATGTTCAATTATAATTTTAACAGTTTTAAGCTCTTTTTTAAATCATTTGTTGACCTAATATTTCTTCTTAGTTCTGATGGTAACTGATTCCATTCGTATGGGCCGCATATACAAAAAGATTTTTCTCTAAATGTTTTAAGCCCTGCTTATTGAGGTTTCAACAATAATAATTATAACAATTGGTCCTTAGAAATTTTAGTGCTATTTGGTGTGTATTAAGATACAAGTTCACAGAGATAATTGGTGCAAGTCCAGTATGTATATCTACAAATTGTAAATAAATCTTTCTTGTACAGATATATATCCCTCCTTACACAATTACTTCCTTATGTCCTTTCTTACACAACTACATGAACCTGTTCTCAACATTCTGTATAAATTCTTCCCTCAAATATGTGTACTACTGAAACAATCTCCTTAAAATGTTGCAAAACAGTTCCCATTTAATAATATATATATGAATTGGGTTACCTGATCATAGTTGCATGAATCACAGCGGACAGCTGTATAGATGCTCTGTTGGAAAAGTGGCTGTTCCAGGCAGTTCCTGTAGTTGCGCACCTTGGTGACATTGATCACATTCTGGCTAGCATACTGGGAGTAGGAGTAAGGGTAAGAGCCTACCTGGTACAGAGTCTCACAGTCACCTGATACACCATCCTAGAAAAAATGAATTGGAATCTTATCAAACTATACGCTAAAGCTAAAAGTTATACATACATAAAAAAAAAAAAAAAATATATATATATATATATATATATATATATATATATATATATATATATAAAGAGTATATTTACAAAAAAAGAAAAAAAAAGATGAATAAATAAATCATTTTAAAAATAAAGGAATGAAAAATATCTCCAATTTTCACTACACAACACCAAAGTCTACATACATTCCAACAAAAACAGAAATATCATCTAACAATCACAGATAATAAATAAATAAAAAATAGTAAATAACACATAAGTGCCACATGTTTGTAAAAATCCTCAAATTTCATTATAATTGACCTGCACTCCACAAGTATATAGTAAAAAGAAATATGGCTTGCCAGTTTCCAAGAAAATAAATAAATAAATAAATAAATATTTTTAAAAATTGCAATGAGTTTTGTGAAAAAAGTAATTGTCCATATTTTCAAAATTTCATCTGCAATTTCAACATTAAAAAAAGAAGAAATTGAAAATTTTTAAATAAAAGGAAAATGATTTTTGCAAAGTGAGTTTTGGGTGGCAACTGATTATCAGTGTTTACAAAAGTTGCAACATGTACAAGCACAGTTGAGCAAAAATTATGCAGACAATCACAGTGTCTTTAAGTAAAAAACAAAATTCCTTTTTAGATTTGAATAATTTTAAAAAGATCTCAGATCCATTTGCTACATCTCTCTCTCTCTCTCTCTCTCTCTCTCTCTCTCTCTCTCTCTCTCTCTGAATTAAGGCAAAAATACCACCACTTTCATTAACCCAAGAAATAATCTCTAGATTTAATGGATTCTAATACACATTTTAAAAAGCATTTTCTTACCTCCATTACTTTGTAGACATTCCTGTTCTGTGTGCTCTGTCTGCGAATGTTTGTAAACCAAGCATCCCAGCTGGACCTGTTGTCCTCATCTAAAGCTCTGTACTGCTGCAAGTTGACTTGGAATACACTCAGGACTCCCTTCTTGATATTCACTGACCAGTATGGGTCATCCTGTTCAGTCTGCAACTGCTTTACAATGCCATCTTCATAACTGGAAATAATATTACTATGGTTACTGAGGATATCTCCACAGGAAATATTTCTTTGTTTGTTTATCAAATCCACTTAAGTTATTAAGTCAAAAAACTAGAAGATGCAATGCCAGCTCCCACAAACTGATTAACTGTTAAAACAATTTTTCAAAAAACCAGCTTAAAAAATTAAAAAATACCATCTCTGTCATAAAGATCACTAATTTTATGTACCTTTGCCTTTACACCTCAAACATTAAGACAATTGATCAAATTAATACATCCACATTCAAAACTTTTGATATGTAAAATATCATTTTAATAATTGAAATATTCACCTGATTTGGAATGGTCTTTGCAGCTCTTGGCTGATCACTTGCTGCTGCTCCTGTTGTAGGTCTTGGAAAATCTCCAGTGGCAGTTGCTGGGTTGGTTCACCTTGTACAACCTTCTCATTCAACCTGCGCACCTGAACACCTTCCAACTAAAACATAACAAATGCTTTTTTATCAGTTCCATATAACACAATTAATTCATTAGTACTGAAACTGTAAGAGGAAATTAAATCTAAATCAATTGTAACACCACAAGTTTTACAGTCTCATCATATTTTCCCTTCTCTGATTTTCTCATTTGTTTTCCTTTATTTTCTTTTTCTATTATTTTTTAAGTAAGATGAGACAACAGGAAGGTTTGTACCTGACATTGGACCTGTGAGGCAGATGTGAACTGCAGTCTGACAGTGGCTCTGATTCTGACTCCACTGTACTGCTGAGATGAGCCAGGGATTCCTGTCAAAACCTGACCATCATACACATATGCGTATTCACGACCTGAGCGGAAAACTGAAAAGAACAAAATTTACAACATAAATTACAGGAATAACTCATTCTTAATCTTCTTTTTTAAAAATTGATATTAGATTATTCAAAGTTTCAGTCTAGCAAAAATTTTACAAAATTATAATAATAAATAGAATAATAAGAAAAGGTTACAGACAGCAAGGCTGAAACTCATGCAGGCAATTAACAAAAAAATTAGAGAAACAGATCGAATGGAGACCATAAAATATGGAAAGTTATACAGAAAAAATAAACAGCAACAACATTGACAAGATCAGATACCAGTGATCAGGATAGTATTAAATATATATTTCCTCATCCAGTATTTTAGTAGGAACAGTTATTTACTGTTTACAAGTTTACCAGTTAACAGTTGAGACATACATTACTTACCAGATTCTCTTCTTGATGCACCTGTAGGGAAAAAACAGATTGATAAAGACAATCACAACTTTGAAAATTTTTTCTTCGTGTGTTATAACGTGTTTCTTGTCATTTACTCCTTATAGAAGAAGTAGTATGATATAGTGTCACAACGTTGTTGAAGCTTGCAGATCTTTTCAGACTATGCTTAATTAATTGACCAAAAAGACAAATCAAGCACTGAATCCTTTCCTACAAAATTATCAGGATCAAATAAAGTAAAAAGATTTAAATCAGCACTTACTTGCAAAGCAAGCCCCAAGAAGTAACAACAGTGTGAACTTCATGGTTCTAGTCCCCAGTGCAGCTGTGAAGACGCCACCGTATGCACATCTTTTATACAAATTGAGCCTCCTGCAGGAATGTCAGACAGCCTCACCTTCACACCACTTTTGTCAGTATTCTCACACACCAAGTTTTCTTGTTTTTCTTTAAAGGTTGACAGATCATGGTTAATCATATCATTGTACTGTTGTTTTTTCTAAATGTAAATCAAAGAACAGACGGATGTGATATAGAGGAAAACAGCACTGATTGGCACTTGGGATCCAAAGGAAAAAAAGTTGAACAAGTCAATATTGGCACATACAAGGGACATTTAAAAAAAATTAAATATAAACTAGTTTAACCAAGCAGTATAATAGGCAAAAATTTTCTTTGAAAATTCAATAATTTTCAGTTCAAAGCCAAGGTATACCCAATCTAAAATCACTTAGTTATGTTCACAGACTATTTTTTTAGCAGAGTTTTGAAAACAGATTCATTCTTTTAATTCAGCTCATCAAAACCATTGTTTTCCTGGATTAAAAACACACCAGGGCATTAATGGGCAAACAATTCCAAAATACTTGAAATATACTTTGCAGAGTGGTGTTATGTTTGTAAAAATATTCAGATTATGCTGATTTTCATTTCAGTGAAACAGAAAGCTGTTTTGGCAATTATGTCATAAATGAATACCCTTCTACCTATGACAGCCATGGCAATGTGTGAAAAAAATGCATCTACAGCATCTCATCATTTAAGGTCACCTCTCAGGTCTGTTTAAGGACGTAAGTGAGCTTCCTGAAGCTAAAGATCCAATCCTTTTGTTTTTTATTTTTTAATTTTCTGCCTTCTTTCTTATATTCTGTAAAATATTCCTGAAATGCACAAATGCCTCAAATAGATTATTCTTAAGCAGTGTATTTTCTTTCCTTGGGGTCTTGGAGGGGGGGGGGATTGTCTGGGTGGAATTGACTGGGGGGAGGGGGCAATTTTAGGGCGGGATTGTCCTAGGATCTCAGAATATATATATATATATAGAAGAAAACATCAGCGTATATTCTTTTCCAGTTAGATATTGCCATCAGAATCCTACTTAAGAAGTAAAACCAGTGCTTTCTTGAAGAATCTGAATATACTAATCTCTGTGTAAGTCCATCATTTTTTATAACTTTTCATTTATCTTCAAAGCACTTATACTTATTAATCTGTTTTGATGTGTACAAATTAGCATGTTATAACTTACTGACAAGGCAAAAATAAAAAGAATTCTCAGCCTTGGAAAATACCTTTTCATGGCCAACTCCATCAGCTGATCTTGTAGTTATTATTTTCACAAAGAAAGTTTTTGTAAACAAGGCCTTCAAACAATAATACACAAAAGCCATGTTTTGTCTTACCCAAAACATTTCAACCGGTTGGTGAGAAACTTGGTGAATCACTGAAGGTCAACTGATAACTTATGGAGTTTTTTTTGGTTTTTACATTTTATAATATTTCTCCTTTACTGCTCCTTGCATGTTAAGTGTTTCAAGTGCAGCTTGAGGCTTCCCTCAAAATAAAACATTATGCATAAATCTAAAGCAAAGATTGATAAGTACTTCTTGTCAAACAGAAGGTAAATAATCATCTCTGCAATTTGTTTGAGAAAATTTTGTCATAGTGACGTTCAATTCAGTATGAAAGAAGCACCTTAAATATAATCCCTTACTTCCCACCCTTTTTCTCCTGCAAAGAAGGGCAAATGTCTGTTACTATGAGACTAATCTTTATCAAAATATTTGTTTTAACATGATTTGCTTTTCATAAAATGATTACAAAAATTAAGTTGATTAAATAACTGACTCCACAGAAATTTCTGTTTGAAAGAGAGTGGGTGTGGAAGGGGTTCTGTTGAAGATAATTGNATTGTCCTAGGATCTCAGAATATATATATATATATATATATATATATATATATATATATATATATATATATATAAGAAAACATCAGCGTATATTCTTTTCCAGTTAGATATTGCCATCAGAATCCTACTTAAGAAGTAAAACCAGTACTTTCTTGAAAAATCTGAATATACTAATCTCTGTGTAAGTCCATCATTTTTTATAACTTTTCATTTATCTTCAAAGCACTTATACTTATCAATCTGTTTTGATGTGTACAAATTAGCATGTTATAACTTACTGACAAGGCAAAAATAAAAAGAATTCTCAGCCTTGGAAAATACCTTTTCATGGCCAACTCCATCAGCTGATCTTGTAGTTATTATTTTCACAAAGAAAGTTTTTGTAAACAAGGCCTTCAAACAATAATACACAAAAGCCATGTTTTGTCTTACACAAAACATTTCAACCGGTTGGTGAGAAACTTGGTGAATCACTGAAGGTCAACTGATAACTTATGGAGTTTTTTTTTGGTTTTTACATTTTATAATATTTCTCCTTTACTGCTCCTTGCATGTTGAGTGTTTCAAGTGCAGCTTGAGGCTTCCCTCAAAATAAAACATTATGCATAAATCTAAAGCAAAGATTGATAAGTACTTCTTGTCAAACAGAAGGTAAATAATCATCTCTGCAATTTGTTTGAGAAAATTTTGTCATAGTGACGTTCAATTCAGTATGAAAGAAGCACCTTAAATATAATCCCTTACTTCCCACCCTTTTTCTCCTGCAAAGAAGGGCAAATGTCTGTTACTATGAGACTAATCTTTATCAAAATATTTGTTTTAACATGATTTGCTTTTCATAAAATGATTACAAAAATTAAGTTCATTAAATAACTGACTCCACAGAAATTTCTGTTTGAAAGAGAGTGGGTGTGGAAGGGGTTCTGTTGAAGATAATTGGAAAAGTAGGATAAAAATACGACATTTACTTTTCAGAACAATGCACTTAGTTGTATAACACTTTCCACCACATTTCCTATTGTTATGTAAATAATGAGGCAACATTTGTACACTTTGGAAAATTCCCAATATTTTCTGGATACTTGGTCATTAGCCCTGAAGAGAATGACAGAAACATGAAAATAAAAATGGTTTTACTGTTACTGTATTAACAAAAGGTAAAATAATGAGACAGAACTTAACTGTCTTCACATACATGTTTATGATAGGTAAATCAGTAATAGTCAAAGTCAGTTAATTTTTATGGAAGGCCTTGTTATAATGATCTTATACCTCTGCTTTATATTTTACTTTATCAATCACTAGTTCGAAAAAGATCATCAAGTAAAATGGCACTGCTTCCATTTGAAGGCACTATGTATTCAACAATATTTTCAAAGTCCAATTACCAAAATCGCATGCCATTTTCTTTTCTTTTTTGCACATCATTTTAAAAGAATGATAAAAATGACTAAATTTTTGAAAAATTTAACTCCAGGTTTTAAGAATCTGTGTAAATTGACAAACAAACAAAAAATTAACATAAGAATAAAACTGTTAGACTATCAAAATTTCATTTCTTTCTCTTCCTTTCACATCACTTTTTCAAGTTTTTTGAAATGAAAATAGTTAATTCAGGTAAATGAAATCATAAGAATCTGTGTAATTTAAGAAAAAACATTAACATCAGTTAAGTACATTAGTGCAATCAAACTTTTATCATAATATGTTATTTTTGAATAAATTTATTTTATATATTGTTTTTACAAAGTCATCTGGCAAAACAAACCAATGCTCTGACTGGTTAGTGGGGTTGAAAGAAAACTTTTATGGTAATGCAACAACATACTACAATGTTCAACGCATTTATTTACAAAGACTAAATGACAAAATAAAATATAGCTTATCAGATATTTTACATTATAATAAAACTATTTCATCTCAAATTGTGGAAAATATATTACATCTGCCTGACATCACACATTTTTTACAAATGCAAGTTATGTTGGTAATATCCTTTCACATTTCCTCATGTATGATGCTCCTTTACACAATGATACCTTTTTCACAGTTATGCTTCTTGTTTTAAGATCAGGACCTGTACTTGCATCAGTCTTTTTAACATTATAATGAATTTACTTAAAGATTTCAGTCATTTTCTTATACTTTTTCTAATCACTGGTCCCTTCAATAAAGGCTGAAAGAAAAAATTATATACATGTATCAAACTCATGCAATTTATGCATGTCAGTAATCTAAATAATTAGTAATGGATTTAAAAGGTGTAGTACGACTACTATAGGATCCATGCAAAAATGTATGATAAAGAATGAAATTAGACTTCGTCATCAGAAAGCAAAGACTAGTTTACTTACTGCCAGGTATGTTGATTTTATTGGAGACCAAGACATCTGCCTGTATAGCTGTCATATTAACATACAGGGTATCAGGGGCAGCCTGAAATTACAATACAATACAACACTGTGTCACTGTAACAATACAGTAAATCAAAATACCATCTAAATGAAAGCTATTAAAGATATCCTGTAGATAGCAATACAAATCCACCAGCAGGGTTTAGTTGAGAAAGCCTAATGCACTTTGTTTCATTCAGATTCTTTTTAAAAAAAATATATAAAGCTGAAAATAACATTCCGTTCACAACAAAGTTTGAAAGAAAATAGCATATATTTATCAGAATTGAAAGGCCGAACAAATTAAAAGCATGTCTAGGAGAGCTATAGTCAATACATACAGTGTACAATATGCAGAGTACTTCAGCACAACAAATAAGTGGAAAATTGCTTAGAAAATTATTCTAGACATGACCAATAATTTCAGTACATTTCGTTCATGATATAACTACTGCCATAAGCCACATCGCTTCCTTCATGATGTTAGGGCATTACACACCAATAGCTTCAAAGCTGTAACATTTGAATGATTATAGACCCCTGGTGTACTAGATTGCCTCATCATACAGAAATGATGAATCCTGCATATTTTGTGTACCATTAAAGTTCAATTTATCTGGTTTATGTATTTTTCAAGAATAACAGATACAAATGTAAATGCATAAAAAAACATAAATATGCCACAGACATGTACCTTTACCCATGCAAACACAAACACATGCATCCAATATTTTGACTTACCATAAATTGTTCATATAATGCCTCTCCCATAGCATCTCTAACATGATCATCCACAATGGGGAAGGTCCGACAGAAATACTGAAATCAAATTGAAAAAAGTTCTTTGTGAGGAAATGAAAAATATGATTTACAATATTTTGATGATTTTATTGCTTGTTGCTTAAAACTGTTTGCTTCTTAAAATTTTATCATGTTTAGATAATGCCTTTCATCCCCAATTGTCTTATTTGATGATTACTGTTGGTACAACCATATGTTCCAACAATATAAAACATAAATATAAAACATGGTTCTTACTTCCAGAGTTATGGATGCCTGTCTTTGACTATCAGCATAGTCTTGGTTACCCATAGCAAACATCATGTTATGAACCATCCTGTACTGGATCAACTTTTCTGCAAGTTCAGTAGATTCTCTGGCCAAGATACTGAAATTATTGATTTGAATAAATATCTGGTACACAACATGACTTGAAGGATTTTTCTATCTTTATTATCATAATCCTTGGTAAAACAACTAATTTGTTTCAATGTGCAATGTTTAGAAGTGGGACTTCTTCCATAGTGTCAACTACAGCAATGACATGCTAGCAGAGTTTTGAATCACTTACCCAATGGTCTTAGCTGCAGCAGCCTGCTGCACGAATACTGGAAGTGGAGCCTTGATTTGTGGAACTTCTGGATCTGAAACAAAATAACAGGAGAAAATTTAATCATATGCTGAAGATAAAAGATAAACATAACATTAGCTTATAATAAAGTACACACTCTATTACACCCAATTCTCGAATAAAGAAATTCTCTGCTATATAATCACAGCACAGAATCTAACTATACCAATTAAATGAAATACTACTCTCAATAGCATTAACACATACTATTGTATTTATGCCCTTTTTTTGACTATTCCATTTTAAAATGTGGCATCAGTTCAGGTTTTGGGTTGTATTGCATAAAAAAAAAATATCAGTGAACCTCCTGAAAGATTTGATATTGTCAACAGAGCACATTAAAATGAACAAAAAAAGACAACACAAACATCACATCCTTCCTTGGTGAAACAGGATTTACCTCAGAAAACAATAATTTACAAGAACTTCTCTTCAACAAATAACAAAACACAACAACAGAAGATGTAATGAGTATGTCTGACTATGGACAAGCACAAAATGAAAGTGAACAAAATTAAATTTCCAAAAACTACAGACAAGACACAAACCCAAACACACACATCAAGTGCACCTTCAAAAAGACCCAGGATAATGCTCCCCCCTGTATGTTGGGTTTTATTTGGTTTGTCACCTGTTGATGATACAGAGACATCACCTAACAATGCTGAATCAATGTAATACAAAGTTGGATATGAAATCACAATTTTAACAGTGACATCACTTAAAATTCTTTTTCATTTGGTAGTAACACTTATACTATACATTTTTATTCCCAACTTGGGCATTTCATACCGCTGTACTCTCTCTCATCCAATATGGGCCTATGGACTTCATAACTAACACATTTTTTCATTTCTCAAATGCAACTATTATACAGAACATATTACCATAAATATGTATCAAATAAGTTTAATGAACACATCTTTTCCTTACATCTTACATTTCCATGTATTATTGTTTGCTTTCTTTCAAAAAGTTTTGTCCATATGACTTAATTTATAAGCACGCATCTCTTTTTTCATCAAATAAACAAGAGGACTTGCCTACAACTTCAGTGTCACTGTAAATCGAAGCCCTGTTCTTGTTTTGTTTAAAAGAGGACTCTGAGCTTAACAGTGCTATTTTGGTTCTTGATTCTAGTCTACACTTACCATCTAACAGTTCTGGTCTTTTAATAGTCTCCTCTTTGGGTGGATGGAGAAGCTGAACCAGAACTTTGAGTAGGTCATCTCGGACATCATAGGCCATGAGGTCCTTGATCAATTCAATAGCTGCAAATAGATAATTATGATAAGAGGTTGTATAAAATTACAATAACCATTATTTGGTGATCTTCAATACAGAATAATCAATTCATTTTTCAATCCATCTTCTGATGACTTTAAGTCAGCTTGTGAATATTGCATGCATGAATGAAAAAGTAACTTGTAATTACTAAATTATAGTCAACCCCCCCCCCCCCCTCCCAGGAAAAAAAATTCACATTTAAATATAACTAGTCTAAAATTGTCAGATTATCATACATTTTATGAATATCACTTAATATTTAAAAATTACCTGAGAGGTACCCTAAAAAGGATACGTAAATATATGATGCAGTTCTTATTCTCCGTTCAAACATAAGAGATATACATAAGCTGTTGTAAAACAAGCTATTTGACTCATTAACACTTAAAATACTTCTACAAAATGCAGTTGTCCTAGTATTCCAGTAAGGAAATAACTAATATGTGTCAGTAATATAATAGATAGAGTTAATATTTCAGATTCAAATTAGGTATATTTAACACAGTGCCATACAGATATTTTAAAATGACACATTTTTTATATTATTGCAACTGTCAGTGGGCAACATAATAAAATATAATTCAAACTGACAAATCATTATTTTTACAATTTAGTAAAATTTTCTAAATACTTGATTTGGGGGAGGGGAGGAGGAATTATTTGGGGAAGGGGTTACGTGAGTGTGTATTTGTGTTGGGGGTTGGGGGGTCTTATACCTGATGCCAAATACTGGTGTCTTACAGTAAAATTTTAGGACATTACCTTCATACTGCACCTCCAGATGCAAGGTTCTCAGGAGATTTGTCAGTGGCTCCACAATAGTTGGATTCGCAGCACCAACAATTGGCTATAAAAAATCAAGGAGAAAAGGCTTACACTATGTAAAGAAATATAAAATAATACAAAGAATCCCTTAAAATTCAATGCAACTTTTTTTTTAGTTTGCATAGAACACTTACGATATAAATTCTCAAAAATTTGCATTACCAACAGTAGGGATAAGAACTGTGTTAATTAAACAACAACAACAACAAAAAAAAAAAAAGACAGTAAACTACTAACCTGCACTATCCTGAGTGTCTGGGCTGCCATCTGTTGGGCCTTGGGTGAGCTGCATGGCAACAAGGCAATAAGACCCTTGTAGACTTGATTTTCAAACTTAGGATTTCCACGAGCTAAAGATTCAAGGAGGTGCCTTGCACAGTCCTGGGTTTCTTCAGATTTGGATTTTGCTAAACACTCTGCTATAGCTCTAATACCTAAAATTGAAAAATAAATCCCATGAGAATTTTTTCAAAAATTATAGAAATCTGTTTCTAAGATAAACTTTAAAAATTATACAAATGTATTTCTACTTAAAATGTGATTTAAGCATGTCAAACAACACTGTCCTTTGGAGTGGCAAACAAGAAAATATGAAATGATTCGAACTTAGCTATGTGTATGACCAAATCATCTACCAGTACACATCACCAAGCATACCCTTACTGTGGATGACAGCCATTTACTGTGGCAAATATGTAACTTACCATAACTTTCACAAATGAGCTCCTTGTACTTTCTACCAGCATTTGCCACATGCTGTAATAAGGTCAAGGCTTGAGCTTTATCTTGTTCCTTTGCTTGCTTCAAACTGATGATCTCTAGTGTGGTTAGAACACCACCAACTTCAAGAAATTCAGCTAAAAATTTCTGCCTGTGGGAAATAATGTGTTCTCTTCATGTACAATTATTATCTTGAATAAATTATCTTCAACCATTATGTTTAAAAATCTTGTAAAAAATGTGATCTTAAGCAAGAAAACAATATATCAGATATCTGAACAACAAGATTTTAATAAAAAACATACATTACCAACTACAACTATGACACATCATAAGTTAAAATGCTGAAGTGAAACAATAAAAGCAAAGTTGGAAGCACTTGAATTACTTACCCACTTGATGCAGACAGGAATATTGAAAGTGCCTGCAATTGTTCAGTTAAACAAGTCCCAATCATATAACTTATAATTTGTTAAGGGAAATACCTAGTATAAAATTTGTATGTTAAGCTATAAAGAAGTATTGTAGTTCTGGAGTATTGTAGAACATCTTGTGTTATATATATACATTTCCAAGGTAATACTTAAATTTTTCAGCAGGTCGAATTTATTTATTGTACACTGGATCTGATTACAGAGAAAGGAATGACATTATTTTTATTTTAAAATTTCATATTGATTTCTGAGACTAAAACTTGTGAGAAGTTATACAATTGTATATGTACATATACTCAGATATTGCGTGTACCATCCAGGTCTGAGACTGTTCATTAAAATAAACTAAAGCTGAATAACTTAACAAAATCACCTTAACAAGCAGAAAGTGGGGTCTAACGTAACACAAACCACAATGAGCATGGGGCAATTGAAATTTTATCTACTAGATTTAATTCTGTACATAATTAATTCTCCGCCAGTTACTGGGGGTACGTATGGATAAAATTTAGTCCCAAAATATTACACGTCCCTATACTCCCGTTACCAATAGGTACATAAAGGAAAAACAGAAAAAACGTCTTTTTAGATTTAAATACCGATAGATCCGGTTTTTTACTGCTGTCCTATATATCTGCGTTCCTATAGATACGACATCCTCACAAACCCATGCCCTTTAAATCTGCATACCTATAGATCCACATATTTTGAGATCCAAATACCGATAGATCCATTACAGGTATGCTTTTGCTCAAAATGGTTGGTATACTACTCAGAACATAAAATGCACTTCTTTAAAACGACAGTACACATATTAATCCTTTCAGCAATTTATTATTCTACTAGATCTTTTTCACAGAATACTCAGTGAAAGAACATAAAAATGTGTTCTATATTTCACAACGCTCAGTGTTCTAGCACCAGAACACTGTTTAAAGCGTTCTCAAAATGTAACATTTGCACACTTAAAATGTGTTCTGTTTCAAGTTACGTCGCGTTCCCGAACTTTAGAGTGTGGTAGACGTGTAGACACGAACGTAAATGTATGTCTTGTTTGAACACCTAATAAATACAGTATAAAAATACATAAATAAATGAATAAATAATAAATATCAGGTTGTAATTAAGTCACATCACTAAGTGGATCAGTATTCGCAGCCAGACTATCACTCGAAAGCCTCATACTTGTATCTCAAGTTGAATATCGGCCTTTTAGCCGATTACGATGTCAGAAAGATGGATCTAGCGGTACCTGGATCTAAAGATCGTGGGTTTATAGGAATCGGTTGGTGGATCTATCGGAACGTAAATTTAACGAGATGTAAATCTATTGAGACGTATATGTATAGAGACGTATCTATCGGGACAAATATTATATCGGGACGTTTATCTATATGGCGGACTCCGTTACTGGTACAGGTAGAAACAATCTGTCATTATATCTAAGATCCGAGTTTAACTTGTGTTAACAACTTGTGTCATAAATATGACTTTCAGTATAATATTTTTTTTCGTCATGCTTTGAGAACAAAAAAAGTCCATGTGATACCCGTAAACTTCCAAAATAAAAGGATACGTCAATCTTATCCACGCCGTCAACCTGGTTAAAAACAAACTTGCTGCCTGTGCAAATTCCTCCTCTAATTCTGGCCCAGTCTTATTTTGATTCTGCGAAATAAAGTCTTCGAGAATCTTCTTCCTCACCGGTTTGGAGCCCTTATCCCACTCTTGAAGAAGGGACATGACTTTGGAAATCTGAGTTTGTTGCTTTGCTGAACCCATTCTTATTTACAATGACAAAATGTTAATGAGTAAACGTGTGCAAATAAATACAATACGTTACTGAATTGTACTTTCCGCTCAGAAAAACCAGGCAAGTACGAATGATATTGACTAAATGTTAAAGTATAAGCAAGCAATCGCCGAACCACTGAAATTTGTTGTCATCTGTTGCCATCTCCATTTTGGACTCCTTTTAGATGGCTTCTGTTATTGGTCCATTCTTTATAGATGGTCCAATCAAAGCTTTCATTTCACTTAGAACCAATATGGCGAAGGGTGAAGGTCAAATTAGAGAACTTCTGGATTTTGCCTGATTCATGTACCTACCGTTCGTTTTACGTCTTTTCTCCCTCATGAAGCAATAATGCGGTGTTTAAGTGTACATTTGTTTAAATAGACCGTCTTCAGTATGTACAGTTACTCATAAGATAACCGAAAGGTAAGTCATAATTCAGATTATGTAAATCTTATTATGAGCAGAAATACGAGGATAACTTTCTCACTATCAGGTTGTGAATCACATGCGATTTTAGCACTGTGACACTATATGGTGGAAACGTACATGTATGCCCTCTCAAAATCGATTTCTTATTTATTTAGTACTATTTGACGGATTGTTGTCTGGGTTACAAAGCTTTGCAGTTTAGTTTTGAATTAAAGTTTTTCTTGAAAGTATGATACTGTACAGTACAATTTAAAACAACACTTCATCAGCTAGTTTTTCATCTATGTTGTAAGTGTATGTTAAAATTGTTATTTTTTTCATATTTATGTAGGAAAACAACACTCGTTTGCCACCTTGAACAGTTAATCAATCTGGTTAATGAACCTAAAAATTAACACTTGAATACTATACAAGGACTTGGCAAAAGCCAGATGTAACTATAACAGTTTAGTGGCACAGCTCTTTATTCCTAAAGCCTGGTTCATCCCAACTCTGTCTGTCTCGACAGAGTTCTCAAATAGAACTTGTGTTTCGTTTACATTTTCATGACAATTACCCTGCATAGCAACTTATAATTATTATATGAATTTTAATTTTTAATATGCGAGAACACAAAATACATGTATGTTGTGCCCAATGATAATGTCATTATAAAAAAGGAGAATTTCTTTCACACAGTCAACAGTTTTTTATTCCAGACTGTGGACTGATAATGGCATCAGGAGATAGTGAAATACAGGATGTGACCTCAAACAGCGGTGACAAACAGCAGGAATGTGAAAAAGCAGAAAGTCCAAAACCAGGATGCAGCAAATATGATGATACCCCTGTAGAGACACCAGAAGTCACAGCTAGGCCAGAGTCTCCAGAACCCAACTGCTCAATTTGTTTGTGTGCAATGACAAATAAGTCTTTTACAGACACATGTTTTCATACATTTTGTTTCATCTGTCTTTTGGAATGGTCAAAAGTGAATCCGGTGTGTCCATTGTGTAAGAAAAAATTTGATAGCATCATTCATACAGTGAAATCTATAGACCAGTATGAGCAGTATTACATACCACCACGTCCCCAAACACCATCTCCACCACCCCCTGATCTGAGCAGGTTGTGGGATTCAGCTGGGTTGAGGTTTAGGTAAGTAAAACATATTCAGAAATGTTAGCTTCCCATTTTCCTTGTATATCAGTAGTTGGTAATGCCAGAGACCGTGTGGAATTCTTTTGCATGTTCATCAAGCATTTTGCATCTGTCATTGTTGTCAAAAATACCCATTTTTACAACAAAACACCTGCATGGACATCAAAGGGTCCAACATTTCACAGGAAATGATGGACCCACACACTTATCAGTTCATTTTTTGAGACTTGTCGAAATTGCAGTTTCCAAATGTTGGCAACTACATGTATTAGAATGCTTTCACCACATATATTTAGTAGTCTCAAAATAAATTATTTGTTAATCATAAACTGTTGACTTGGTGAGTGAATTGATTTGTTTGTCATATTCCAGGTATGCAAGTACACTTGTAGATGATCCCTGGGGAGAGTATGATGATCACAGATACTGGCGTAGCAGGAGGCACGATGCTGTTATTGGCTTAGATCCTAGAGAACTCTTGGCTCAGAGGAGAGCTCATACTTTTCATGCAAGTCAGTACAGGAGCCGAAGATCCAGAGTTTCTTCAGCAACCTTGTATAGGAGAATGCGAGAACGTCACACCAGAGATTTTCGCCGGAGAATATACATGGAAGGCCTATGGGCAGTGCATCAAGACAATACAAGAAGATATAGGGACATTTCTCCTGAATTTTTTACAAGAAACCCTGCTCAAATTCACAGACTTGTTCCTTGGTTGAACAGGGAGCTGAATGCTATCTTATACAACCAAGAAGAAACTGTCAGCTTTGCCCTACAACTAGTGATGGAATTAACAAAAAGGTATGCCTACTCATTATTTACATCGTGGTGCAGGGAATTTATAAAATATATGAAGTATTCCTATTCAAAACAGTCAGTTTGTTTATCCACACTCAAGGTCAGTTTGTTTATTTCACACAACAAGTGCTAAGAGAGATTGCATCAACATCCAAGTTTTTGCTATGATAACCTGTACTGATGTCCTAACAACATGATTATTGCAGTAAGAAAAAGAAAACATTTCGTGACCTAAAAAAATTGTGCATTAACAAGAAAGACATATAGAAAGAAAATTTTCTTTTCTAAAAAATTCAAATTTGTTGTTTCTGAGTTTGAATGATAATAGTATGATACAGACACGTTGCCATAAATTTATTGAAGATTTTATGTTAAATTATTTAAACCATTTTTTTCTTTTTATAGTTTTTAATTCCAACTACTTTTCTTGGTGTCAGTATTGCAAGAACAGATAATTTGTACTCAAAAGTTTCATTATATCATTAATATAGAATAGAATTTCAATGACTTTAGACTTTTAATGAATTTGGTTCAGTGTATGGAAAATCTCAAAATCGTATATTTGTTCTAAGAATGATGTGATTTTTTCTTCAGTCAACAGCTAATATTGAGATAGGTTTTACCTCCAAAATCACATCATTCTCATAAATTAACACAGCTGATGAAATTCTTCTCTGACGTAAATTTGTTCTGTTTTTATTTTTTAGATATGAGTTACAAAGTGATGAGATGCATCAACATTTGGAGTCCATTCTTGGCCTACATACCCGCCACTTTCTTCATGAATATTACTGCTTTGCTAGATCACCTTTTGACATGACTGATTATGACACACATGCTGAGTATGAGCAAGTACTGAGTGTATCTGGTAGTGATCAGGATTCTGATGAAGATCAACGCATGGGAAACACAGGAGTTGTTCAGCACCAGAGGAATGGAAGAGATGCATCTGGCTCGGAATCTTCTAGAGATAATTTGCGTGGTGCCAGGCGAAGAAAAAATTCCAGGGTCAGGAGGAATGCGGATGCTGGACAGGGTAGCAGTAATACTAGGTCTTCTAGAACCCACGGTATTAACAATGCTTCTGCCTTGTCCAGTATTGCATATAACCTTCCTTCCAACAGAACACTAGGTGGTCAAGGTAGCTGGCAGTCAGATTTTAGAAATCCTGAACCAATAGCAGAAAGGAGAAATTCTTCTCCAGTAGACTTCACACCAGCCCCAATAGTCAGCAGAGTGCGTGATTTTTTGGAAGAAGTATCGGACCCCAATAATGCCAGCACATCGCGTTCAGGTTGGGAATCTCCAGTGCTTAGCAGGACCACCATCTTTTCATCTCCACCAAGAGCTGAGAGCCCAGTTATTGACATTGTGTCCGTGACTTCAACTCCAGAAAATAATCCTGAAGTACAAAATAATTCATCGTCTCCTGAATGTATTGATCAGAAATCCCCTGAATATATCAACCCAGGATCTCCTGAAACTATAGATCCTGGGTCTGCTGAAGACATTAAACCAGGAACTTCAGGGGTGTTAAACTTGAGTAAAGACGTGGAACATGTTTTGGCCTCTTCCAACACACAAGATTCTGACAGTGACTCTGATGTGCAGTTTATTAAGTTTGAAAAACCTTGGGGTGAGCGCACACCTATCCATTTGTCATCTGGTCCAGACAGTGATATAGAACTTTTGACAAAATCTTCACCTTTTCGTAAAAGAAAAAGGGAAAAAAATAGATCTCAAACTCGATCTAAGACTAGGTCTCGATCAAGAACAAGGAGAAGAGACAGGAGAAGCCAGACACCTCTACAATACAGACAAGGGAGATATAGAAGTAGTGACCGATCTGAGAGATATTTAAATAAATACTCTTCAAAGTCTAGAGAGCATACACAGCATAAACATAGTCATGACAGGTACAGATCAGTGTCTAGAACAAGAGATCGTTACCATTCAAAATTCAGGAAATCTAAGTCAAATTCCAATAAACCAGGAGAAATGGAAAAAGAAAAAACTGAAAAAAATACAAGGGACAGTCAAAAATATGAAAAACTTGGAAAAAGCACTAAGAGATCTGTAACAGGAGAAAGTGAGAGACATGAGGATTACTTTAGGTTATCTAGGTATATGAGCCATAATTCATCAAGAAGACACTATGAAAAAAGGTTAAAGTCACCAAGTTATACATCCAAACACAAACATAAGAAAAAGAAAGACAAAAGGCACAGAAGTCGCAGTGTTGAGTTAGTCAAAGTGAAAAGAAAACACAAACATAGAAGTAGATCAAGAAAAAGTAAAAAATCCAAGAAAGATATTCACCGTGGTTACTCATATGATGAAAAATCGCCAATTCATATTGTGGAAGAGGTTCTACCTCTCTCCAAACACAAAGAAGTAACCAAGAAGTACAAGAAAAATCCAACTGGTCACAAAAGCAGCACTAGAAACTGAGTAGTAAAGTTGTTCCAGTCAATGCAACCAGTAACATTGACACTGTGGCCATCACATCACCATCCTTAATCAGCACTAGCTCATTTGGTTCTCCTTTGGTAAGTGTGAGCACCAGCAGTGCTGGCTTCAGTTCTCCCTTGCCAAGTAACCAGAGTGGCAGTGAATGTATTCAATCACCAGTGGCACCAGTTGCTAATTGGGCAGGCGTCAGTGGTTCAGAGTGCACTCAATCACCAATGGTGCAAAATAGGAATAGCAATGGGCTTCTATCTCATGCAAACAACTATGAAGATGATAATAAGAATAAAGGTCTCCATTCACCAATGATGTGGCACATGGACAGCACAAGCTTTAATTCTCCATCAGACAGCAACCAGCATGTTTCAGAATGTAGTCTTTCACCAGTGAAACAAAATGATCATGTAAGATTTACTGCTCCTTCAGTCAAAAATCATAGTGACAGTGATAGTTTTTATTCATCAGTGACAAAGAAAACAAATAGTGTGGCATTAAGTTCTCCCTCGGTGAACAACCATAATGATGAGCATATCCTGTCACCTGTGACACAAGATTATTCATCTGGTTTTGATGATATTACTGTTGACAATCTTAGTGATATCACTGTCACTGAAGCTGGAAGTTCATCAGAGATTCAAAATGGAAATAGCTCAAGCTTCAGACTGTCTTCAGTTGAAAACCATTGTGGTGGTGAAGGTGTCCATTCATCAGTGCTGCAGAATACAAATGCACGTTTCAGCTCTCCTTACTTTAGCCACCACAGTGTTGTTAATGCCTGTCACAAGGTACCAGAGGAACAGACCACAAACAAAACTGGCATCAGCTTCTTGCCATGTACATCAAACTGTAGAAGTGATGATGATTTCCTGTCAGTGTTGTTGGAGAATTCAGAAGTGACTAATTCTGGTCTAGACTCTGGTGGTACTGCCAGTTATGAAAGTGACTTTACAGGTGTAAATTTTAGTGAGTCTGTAGACAGTTTAACAAATGGTCAAAGCCAGTCAAATTCAGAACTCAAGAGCTTAAAAGGCCAGTCTGATGACACAGATGAGTTTGACATTAACCAGTTGTTACAAATAGGTTCAACAGACAATGCAGGTGCAACAAGAGACGTGAGTGAAATTCCAAACCTGGATGAAATGGAAAAGCAGCTCAGAGAAAGCATCCAGTCTCGTGTATTCAAATAACTTTAGCAGCTTTTTATTGTCAGATTTTATTACAAAGCTATGCATATGTACTGTGCCATATGACAATTGGGAAAACTTGCTTGAAGAGTGTAATATGTATACAGTCGGTATGTACCAGTAATTTGACTATTTCCTTTTTCCCCTTTTTTGCAAGAGTAGGATAATTATAGTAATAAACATAAGTCAACTGCTCTTGGATTAAATTAAGTATATTGCTCTTTGTCTAGTTTAGAAGTCTGAATTAAAAAATTTAACTATATTTTAATATTTAGTAGAACCCAAGTTCAATTGAATGCTGATATTTCTGGCCCTTCTGAACCAAATATATTGACTTTGCTTCACCTTGGAAGAATGGTACTGTACTCACAAAGAGAAACTTTCACTATGAATGTATATTCACAGATTTCTGCGGCTATTGTGTGCACATTTCTGTACTTTTGC